CAAAAATTCAAAAATTCAAATATTCAAAAATTCAAATATTCAAAAATTCAAAAATTCAAATATTCAAATATTCAAAAATTCAGAAGTTCAGAAATTCAAAAATTCAAATATTCAGAAATTCAGAAATTCAAAAATTCAGAAATTCAGAAATTCAAATATTCAAAAATTCAAAAATTCAAAAATTCAAATATTCAAAAATTCAAAAATTCAAATATTCAAAAATTCAAATATTCAAAAATTCAAAAATTCAAATATTCAGAAATTCAGAAATTCAAAAATTCAGAAATTCAGAAATTCAAATATTCAAAAATTCAAAAATTCAAAAATTCAAAAATTCAAATATTCAAAAATTCAAATATTCAAAAATTCAAAAATTCAAATATTCAAAAATTCAAATATTCAAAAATTCAAAAATTCAAAAATTCAAAAATTCAAATATTCAAAAATTCAAAAATTCAAATATTCAAAAATTCAAAAATTCAAATATTCAAAAATTCAAATATTCAAATATTCAAAAATTCAAATATTCAAAAATTCAAATATTCAAAAATTCAAAAATTCAAAAATTCAAAAATTCAAAAATTCAGAAGTTCAGAAATTCAAAAATTCAAAAATTCAAAAATTCAAAAATTCAAAATATTCAAAAATTCAAAAATTCAAATATTCAAAAATTCAAATATTCAAATATTCAAAAATTCAAAAATTCAGAAGTTCAGAAATTCAGAGAGAGAGAGCGCAGACAACGAGACACTGTCTGCGTCTCTCCAAAACTTCAAACGGCTATTTCTCGGCTCCCAGGCGTGCTAGGATAGTGAAATTTTGACCATTTTATGAAGATTTTAACACACTTTTAGTTACCGTAAACACACAGTTAGAGTGTCCCGCTGTCTGCGCCCTCTCACTCTCTCGCTCCTCAAAATTTCAAATCGCTGTATCTCAGCTCCTAGACGGGCTAGAAACTTCATTTTTTCACCATTTCGCTCAGAATTTTCTCCATTTCCATTGTGTATCTGTTCTTTTCCAAAAAAAGGTTTCATTGATCAAAGAAGACGACGAAAAAAAAAAGGAAACGGGGAATACACATAAAATTCTACGAGTAAACATTTTTTTCGAAAGTTGGCGAAGGAGAAGGAGAAGGAGAAGAAGAAGAAGAAGAAGAAGAAGAAGAAGAAGAAGAAGAAGAAGAAGAAAAGAATCTCAGATCATACATTTCAGACTTAAAAAGGGGGCGGGGCTTAGCGAATCCGGGGGACCAAACGAGGGGAGAGAAAAATAGTTCTAAATTGATATTTAACAATATAAAATGGACCAGAAAATCTCCCAAAAGTTCTAATTTTCAATTTTTTTGGTTGGTTTCTTATGACAGACACTTTGTAGTTTGTAGTGAGGATGAGAGAAAGGAATGATTTTGGAGCAAAAAAAAGAGAAAAAATTAATTTAATCACCCAGAAAAATGAAAAAAAAAAGAGTGGAAAATTCAATTTTTTTGAATTTTTCGAAAATTCTAAAAAATCAAAATTTTCGAAAATTCCAAAAAATCAAAATTTTTGAAAAATTCAAAAAATCGTATCCCGATACTGTCCAGCCGGAATGGCATTCGACTGACGTTGTGCCTGATTCGGACGTGGCTGGTTGTTGTGGTGGCGGCCGCGGCCGGCGTGGGCGCCTTTTCCCACAGTGTACTCGAATTGGGATGTCTGGAAATTTGAAAAAATTAGGTCATTTTAGAGTTAGGACGTTTTAGGACTGCGACATCCTAGAACCGGGCATTTTGAGAATTCCAAAACTATGCGAAATGTCCCAGTTCTACGACGTTTGTAGTTCTAGAACGTCTGGTTTCAAAACGTCGTGGTTCTAAAATGTCATGCCTTAAAACGGTAACAGTTCCAGTTGCGAATTGGCTCGTTCTAGAATGTACGGTTTCAAAACTCCTCTGCTTCTGAAATGTCGTAGTTCTAAAACGTTCGGTTAGAAAATATCCAATTTCTATATATCTGGTTCTGAAACATCTCGGTTCTAAAGCGTCTGGTTCTAGAACGTCCGACTTTAAGATTTTCAGGGTTCTAAAATGTCGCGGTTCTAAAATGATTTCTAAAGTGTACCATCTGGAACCTATGGTTCTAAACCGTCGCAGCAGTTCTAAAACGTCCAAAATCAACACCTACCGGAATGGTATCCATCAAATCCTGGACATTTGCCTTGGGCAGTGGTTCCTTATAAAACCAGATGTCATCTTCTGCCTCATCAGCCGTCGGTCTCTTATCCGGATCGATAGCCAGAAGGCTTTCCAGTAGATTCATCGCGTCGTCGTCCTTAAAGTCCTTCAGAAATTGCGAAAATGTTCATGTAAATTGGATTTTTTTTGTTCATTTTGTAGTTTGTAGCCCTATCTTAGGACTGTTAGTCGTTTTTAAATCGCGTTGTTTTGAAATGGTTCGGTTCTTAAACGTCGGCGGTTCCGAAATGTCACGATTCCAAAACGTAACAGTTTCGAAACGGTACAGTTCTGAAACGTCGCTGTTTCAAAACGTCACGATTCAGAAACAGTACGGTTTCGAAACGTCGCAATTTTTCGGTTTTGAATTGTCGCGGTTCCAAAAAGTTACGGTTTCGAAGTGTCGCAGTTTCAAAACGTCGCTGTTTCGCAACATCGTGGTTTCGAAACGTTACGACTCCGAAACGTCACGATTCTCGAAAGTTAGGGTTTCAAAACGTTACATTTCCGAAACGGCAGGGTTTCGAAATGTCGCGGTTCCAGAACGGTACGGTTCTAAAAAGTCGCGGTTTCGAAAGGGCGCAGTTCTAAAACGTTATGGTTCCGAAATATCGCGGATTTGAATTGTCGCGGTTCCGAAACAGTACGGTTTCGAAACGTCGCGATTTCTCAACTTTACGGTTCCAAAAAGTCGCGGTTCCGATCGTCACGATTTTCAAAAATCACGGTTCCGAAACGTCACAGTTCTAAAACGTCGCGGTTCTCAAAAAGCCCCTTTTATGGCTGCTTTTAGTGCGTGTTTGTGTGTGTGTGTGTGTGTGTGTGTGTGGGTGTGTGTGTGTGGGTGTGTGTGGGTGTGTGTGTGTGTGTGTGTAAAACGAAACGTCCGCGGTTTGAATAAGGATTACTGTAGTTTCGTGGGGTTACTGTAGTTTGCGATTTTTAGGCCACGGCCAAAACAGCCGAGTTTCGTGTCAAAAATCTTCAAAAAAAAATTCAATTTTCAGAGTTTTCAGCCGGATTACTGTAGTTTTCGACTAGAATTTTTTCATCGTTGTTCTTGGATTACTGTAGTTGCTTAAAAATTTTTGGATTTCTGAATTTTCGTAGCTATTTTTGACTCAAATTTAGCCAAATTTCTAAGACTTTTTTTGGCACAGTAATTTTACGGATTACTGTAGCTACTTCGAAATTATTTCCGAATCAATATAAAACTCACAGCCGGCAAGTGTTCGTTGGGTTTACCCTTGCCGTAAGGGTCCTGTAATTCGTTTAAAAAATCAATGAAAAATGTCTAGAATCTTCCAGAATACCTACCGATTGTGATCGTCCATCGGGACCGTCCAGACGCATCAAATGACGTAGTTTCGACCGTAAAACCCGTTTTTTGCCCTGTGGAAGTGGAGTGTTCGTATCAGATGACATTACATTCCATAGCGGCATTTTCACACAGTTTGGCCATACCTGAAAGATCGAAATTCGAGTGCCGAGTCGACTTTGAAATCGACACAATCGACATTCAACAATTCGACAAGGCTATTTGTCGATGAAAATCGAACTTTTCGTTGTCGATTTTGCGTCGACTTAAAATCGACGAAAATCGACAAAAGTCCACGAAAAATCGACTTTTTCGGTTTTCAGTTGAACTCGTGGTGGCCTAGAAAACTCAACTTACAAAAGTTAGGTCACCATATCAAAATGTAGCACACTGCCAGTTTCAAACAGGCACAACAACAAAAAAACAGACAGTTTCTAGGTCACAGGCCTTGTAATCCTCTCGGACATGAAAGTCGATTAAAAATCGATTTTTAGTCGATTCAAAATCGATTTTTAGTCGATTCTTATCGATTTTTAGTCGATTCAAAATCGACAAAATCGACTTTTTGTCGGCTTTTTGAATATCGATTTTCGACACCGATTCGACACCGACGAAATCGACACCGATTTTGACGATTTTCGTCGATTTTTGTCGATTATCAACAATCGACACAGTACACTAGTCAAAATTTAGAACAATCGATCCCAAATTGACTGAAAATTATCAAAATTCGGCTAAAATTGGCTGAAAACTGCACAAAATCGAAAAATTATCAGATTTGATTTTTTTTTTGAAGTTTTCAGTCTTTTTTCCTGAATTAAGGCTGAGCAATCTACAAATTTTAGTCGTTTTCGAGCCATGTCTAGCTCATTTTCAGCGCATTTTCAGCTCAATTTCAGTCAAAAATGGTCCTAAATATTAAGAATGAGCAATCTGACCATTTTAGGTAGTTTTCAGTCATTTTAAGACGATTTTTGACCCATTTTTAGACTATTTAGACCCGTTTTCAATCAATTTTGGTCCATTTTTAGTCATTTTCAGCCGCTTTCAGACCTATTTTAACCCAATTTTTGAGCATTTTCAGCCTTTTTTGACCCATTTATGCCTATTTTCAGCCAATTTCGACTCATTTATAGCCTATATGGACCGTTTTCAGTCATTTTTAGCCAGTTTCGACCTATTTTTAGCCTATTTTGACTTATTTTTAGTGTATTTTAGTGTACTTTCGGTCCTTTTTGACCCATTCAAGTCTATTTCTCCCATTTTCAGCCATTTTGACGGATTTAAAGCCTAATGCAGCTGTTGTTGAGCGACTCCTAGCTCATTTTAGCTAAGTTTCAGCTTAATTTCCGCTCAATTTCAGTCATAGTGGTCTTAAACATTAAGAATGAGCAATCTGACCATTTTAGGTAGTTTTCAGTCATTTTTGATTATTTCTAGCCATTTTCAGACAATTTTAGGCCCATTTTAAGACCATTTCAAGCCCAGTTTAAGCTCATTCTTCGCCATTTTCAGACCATTTTCAGACCATTTTAAGCCTATTTTCAGCCATTTTCCGTCGTTGTTGACCCATTTTGAGCCTTCTTTGGTCTATTTTGAGCCAATTTGGATTTATTTCAGCCTATTTCAGACCAATTACAGCCTATTGACCTACTGAAAGCCCTTTTTGACTCATTTTTAGTCATTTTTTGTCTATTTTCAGCCGTTTTCAGACGTTTCCCACCCTAACCTCCTGATTAATGGATCCACAAAGTGCCGAAATCAACTGCAACTGTCTCTGTTCGGTGTCTCCTTGCATGATCGGCTGACGGGTCCACATTTCGGCCATAATACATCCAGCACCCCACACGTCGATCTTTGTACCGTATGATCGATCGCCGAGTAGCAGTTCTGGTGGGCGATACCATAGGGTGACGACACGATTCGTATACAGAGCACGGGGCACGTTCGAGTCTGGAAATTGGACTTTTTTAGACTAGTTAAATCTGAGCAATCAGCGAAGAATGCTGGTTTTGAGTCATTTAGAAGCAATTTCAGTCAATTTTGAGCCATTTTAAGTCAAAAATGCCAGAAAAGTCAGCAAAATGTTAAGCTGAGCAATCCGAGACAGATGCCGTTCTTGATGGTTTTTGAGCAAAAATGAGCTATTTTGAGCTGAAAAAAGTCATTTTAAGCCGAAAAACGACAGTAAATTGACCTATTTTTCATGAATTTTGACCCATTTTTCATGAATTTTGACCCATTTTTCATGAATTTTGACCCATTTTTCATGAATTTTGAGCCATTTTCCATGAATTTTGAGCCATTTTTCACGAATTTTGAGCCATTTTTCACGAATTTTGAGCCATTTTTCACGAATTTTGAGCCATTTTTCACGAATTTTGAGCCATTTTTCATGAATTTTGAGCCATTTTTCATGAATTTTGAGCCATTTTTCATGAATTTTGAGCCATTTTTCATGAATTTTGAGCCATTTTTCATGAATTTTGAGCCATTTTTCATGAATTTTGAGCCATTTTTCATGAATTTTGAGCCATTTTTCATGAATTTTGAGCCATTTTTCATGAATTTTGAGCCATTTTTCATGAATTTTGAGCCATTTTTCATGAATTTTGAGCCATTTTTCATGAATTTTCTCAGTTATTTCGATCCAAAACGCCATATTTTAGGATGAAAATGAGCAATCTGAGTAAATTTCAAGATTTTCGCTGAGATTTTCAAGATTTTTGGCTCATTTTCAGTCAGTTCCAGTCAAAAATTTATGCTGAGCAATCTGAGCAATTCTCAATTTTTTGGACTTGTTTTTGACTCATTTTCAGCCAAAAAATCCCCAGTGAAAACGACTTTCTCCGATTGCTCAGCCTCAATTTTTGGTCAAATTTGACTGAAATTGTTTCACATTTCGTTATTTCCGGCTCAAAATCGCTCAATTCTGGTCATTTCTGGGTGCTAAAAATCTCGATTTTCAGCTATTTTCAGCCATTTCCACCCCCCAAAAAAAAAACCCACTTTCTCTCTGCACAAACGGTCTAGCCAATCCGAAATCGGCCAATTTCAGCACTCCTTCTCTGGATATCAATACGTTCGCCGCCTTCATGTCTCTGTGTAGAATTTTGCTTCGATGCAGTTTGTTGAGTCCCGTTATCAGATGTTTTATCATCGTTTTGATATGCAAAAGGGACATCCGGACTTTTGGATTCGATAGAAGACCAGCCAGGTCGTGTTCACAGAATGAGAAGACCAGGTAGAAGGTGGTACGGTCTTTCGTCGCGGGGGCGGAGCCTGCAAGAAAGAGGAATTCGTTGAAAAAATAAGCTGAAAATAGTCAAAATGCTGGTTGAAATCGGCATAAAATAGCCGAATATAGGCCGCAAAACGGTCAAAAAGTCACCAAAATCGGTCTAAATAGGCTAAAAATAGGTCGAAACTGGCTAAAAATGACTGAAAAATTCAGAAAAATGACTGAAAACATATAGGCTATAAATGAGTCGAAATTGGCTGAAAATAGGCATAAATGGGTCAAAAAAGGCTGAAAATGCTCAAAAATTGGGTTAAAATAGGTCTGAAAGCGGCTGAAAATGACTAAAAATGGACCAAAATTGATTGAAAACGGGTCTAAATAGTCTAAAAATGGGTCAAAAATCGTCCTAAAATGGTCAGATTGCTCATTCTTAATATTTAGGACCATTTTTGACTGAAATTGAGCTGAAAATGGGCTGAAAATGAGCTAGAAATGGCTCGAAAACGATTAAGATGTGTAGGAAATACGCTGAATTAAATTGCCAAAAATGAACTGAAACCGAGGCCAGTTTAGGCTAATTTTCAGTCATTTTAAGCCAATTTTCAGCATTTTTGGGTGATTTTTATCACAGTTTTAGGCCAATTTTCAGGTTTTTTGGGGTCATTTTCAACCACATTTCAGGCCATATTTCGGGTTTTTTATGCCTATTTTAAGCATATATTCAGTAATTTCAGGTTGTTTTAGGTCGTCAGTTTCAGCCATTATTCAGACATTTTTAAACCTATTTTAGGCCAATTTTCAGCCATTTCAAGCCAATTTTTCGTGATTTCTGTTGATGCTTTTTGAAGCAAATTTAGGGTTATTTTAAGCCTATTTTCAGGCTAATTTAGGCTAATTTTCAGCCATTTTCAGCCACATTTTTGGCCAATTTCATTTTGTTTTAGATCAATTTTTAGCCATTTTTCAGCCACATTTTCAGCTATTCTCCGGCAATTATAGACTAATTTTCAGCCACATTTTTTGACAAATTTCCGCTGGTTTAAAGCCAATTTTCCACATTTTTTCAGCCATTTTTAGGTCATTTTAAGCCCATTTTAGGACATATTTCAGCCTATTTAAGACAAATTTCAGCTTATTTTAAGCAAATTCCAGGTCTGAAATAGACAAAAACAGCAAAAAATAGGCTAAAATTTGACAGCAAATCGCCGAAAATAGACTGTTTGCAATGGACCAAAATTGGCTGGATTTAGGCCAATTTTCAGCCATTTCAAGCCAATTTTTCGTGATTTCTGTTGATGCTTTTTGAAGCAAATTTAGGGTTATTTTAAGCCTATTTTCAGGCAAATCTAGGCTAATTTTCAGCCATTTTCAGCCACATTTTCGGCCAATTTCATTTTGTTTTAGATCAATTTTTAGCCATTTTTCAGCCACATTTTCAGCTATTCTCCGGCAATTATAGACTAATTTTCAGCCACATTTTTTGACAAATTTCCGCTGGTTTAAAGCCAATTTTCCACATTTTTTCAGCCATTTTTAGGTCATTTTAAGCCCATTTTAGGACATATTTCAGCCTATTTAAGACAAATTTCAGCTTATTTTAAGCAAATTCCAGGTCTGAAATAGACAAAAACAGCAAAAAATAGGCTAAAATTTGACAGCAAATCGCCGAAAATAGACTGTTTGCAATGGACCAAAATTGGCTGGATTTAGGCCAATTTTCAGCTTTTTTTGGAGACATTTTCAGGCCATTTTTCAGCCATTCTCCCCCAAAATTCCACTCAAAAAACTCACTTTTCGCACTACTGCACACTTCGATCAAATCAATGATATTCGGGGTATTTTTAACCCCAGTTTAGGCCTATTTTCAGCTATTTCCGGGTCATTTTTAACCCTATTTGAAGCCATTTCAAGCTATTTACAGCATTTAAAGAGACATTTTAGCACCGTTTTCAGCCGAGATTTTCAGCCGATTTTAGGGTCAGCTGTTCACAGGCATTTTTTTATCCATTTTAAGACATTTTCGACCCATTAGCCTATTTTCAGTCATTTTAAGCCCATTTCAATCTCATTCTTGGCTATTTTTCACCCCTTCTGAGCTTATTTTGAGCCATTTTTAGCCGTTTTTAGACATATTTTTGATTATTCCTAGCCATTTTCAGCCAAATTCAGTCATTTTAGACTTATTTTGAGCATTTTTAAAGCCCATTCAAGCCTATTTTCAGTCAATTTCAGGTTAATTACGGGCTATTTCAGCAGATTTCAGGCCATTTTCAGCCTTTTTCAGCCCATTTTCTCCCAAAATTCCACTCAAAAACTCACTTTTCGCACTGCACACCTCGATCAAATCAATGATATTGGGGTGTTTGAGTTGTTCCAACATCTTCACCTCTCTCAACGCCGTAATCGGGAATCCCTCCTTCTCGTTCGCCATGAGGATTTTCTTCAGTGCCACCATTCGACCCGTCGATTTGCATCGTGCTTTGAACACTTCTCTGGAATGAGAAAGAGGGATTTTCAGGGTGATTTCGAAGCTTTTTGAGCTGTTTTCCAGTGAATTTAGCTTTGAAATTGGGCTAAAAACGGTATAAAATACAGGCTCTAAATAGTCTAAAATTTACCTAATGGCTGAAAAATGGCCTGAAAATGTCTCCAAAAAAAGCTGAAAATTGGCCTAAATCCAGCCAATTTTGGTCCATTTCAAACAGTCTATTTTCGGCGATTTGCTGTCAAATTTTAGCCTATTTTTTGCTGTTTTTGTCTATTTCAGACCTGGAATTTGCTTAAAATAAGCTGAAATTTGTCTTAAATAGGCTGAAATATGTCCTAAAATGGGCTTAAAATGACTTAAAAATGGCTGAAAAAATGTGGAAAATTGGCTTTAAACCAGCGGAAATTTGTCAAAAAATGTGGCTGAAAATTAGTCTATAATTGCCGGAGAATAGCTGAAAATGTGGCTGAAAAATGGCTAAAAATTGATCTAAAACAAAATGAAATTGGCCGAAAATGTGGCTGAAAATGGCTGAAAATTAGCCTAGATTTGCCTGAAAATAGGCTTAAAATAACCCTAAATTTGCTTCAAAAAGCATCAACAGAAATCACGAAAAATTGGCTTGAAATGGCTGAAAATTGGCCTAAAATAGGTTTAAAAATGTCTGAATAATGGCTGAAACTGACGACCTAAAACAACCTGAAATTACTGAATATATGCTTAAAATAGGCTTGAAATTTGCATAAAAAACCCGAAATATGGCCTAAAATAGGCTTAAAAATGACCTGAATAAACCTGAAACATGGCCTGAAATGTGGTTGAAAATGACCCCAAAAAACCTGAAAATCGGCCTAAAATAGTCAAAATTGACCTGAAAATAGCCGAAAATAAGAGGTCCGAATCAGCCGAAAAATGCTGAAAATCGCCTAAAAACCAAGGAAAATGGCTGAAAATTGATCTAAAATCGTCACAAATAGGCGAAAAATCGAGTTTTCGCCATTTTCAGGGTTTTAAAGCCAATTTCGAGCCATTTTTGGCCCATTTTCAGCAAATGTACGTTTAGATTTTTTCGGAATCATTAAGGACCATTTTGGGCTACAAATTGCTCGTTTTCAGTCGATTTTTTGCAATTTTCAGGTTATTTTTGACTATTTCAGTCCATTTTTCACTGATTTTTAAGCTCTAAACCTGGCAATTTTCAGATCTATTTTTGACGATTTCTAGGTGAGTTTTGGATATTTTAAACGAATTTCAAGACTACTTTTACCTATTTTCGGTTATTTTGGGCATTTTTAGACCATTTTTAACCAATTTCAGACACTGAAATCACTGAAAATGGTCGAAAATCGTATTTTCAGTGGAAAACGATTTTTCGTCAATTTTCACTATTTTCAATGATTTTGAAGTTTTTTGCAATTTTCTGGGTTTTTTTGGCTATTTTTAGCTATTTTAGGCTTTTTGAGACCAATTTTTTGGTTATTTTAGACCATTTTTAACCGATTTTTAGCCAGTTTTCGCAATTTTCAAGCCATCTAGACTCACCCAAACGTTCCCTGTCCAATTTTGCTCAATTTCTCGTAGGCGGACGCGTCGTTGATGAATGGATACGCCGCCTGATCGAACATCTTCTGATAATTTAGCAATTGCTGCCGGACGTCGAGCTCCGGTGCTCCTGTGCCACTGTTCGGCGTACCGCCACCCGTCGGCGTGTTTTGGCCATTTTGGCTGATCAGGGTCCTGCTAAAATGGATTTTCGAGGTGAAAAATGGGATTTTCGGACATTTTTAGGCCGGCGAATGGGTTTTTTTAAGAAAAAAAATTTTGAAAAAATTCGAAAAAAAATTTTTTTTTTGAATTTTTCAAAAAATTCGAAAATCTGTTTTTGGCATAAAAAGCATTGAAAAAATCGGTCTTCGCATTTTCCTCAATTTTCTTAATTTTTAGGCCATTTTCCGTCGATTTCTTCCATATTTCCTCACCTCTGCGTGCTGGATTGATGCAGTGCGGCCGGATAGGGTTGTGAGCTCATCGGCTGAAAAAATGACATAGATTCCGTTCATAATTCGTTTATTTTCGCATTTTTTCCTCAAAAAATCAATAGACTCCGCAAAAAAATCGCCGGAAAACCGATGAAAATCCGCGGAAATCGAGAGAAATTGACTGGAAAATTAGTGAGAGCAGACGCAGAGAAGATAGAGAGAAGGGGCGGAACGACGGGAAGCGCAACGTGCGGCGCGGTGTTTTCGCAAGGTGGGCCGCATGGGGATAGGATTTTCTTTCTTTTTTGGGAAAAAAAAGAAAAGAAGAAGAAAACAAATTTCTATCTTCAATTTTTTGCAAAAAAAAGAAGGAGAAAAAGAAGAAAACATGGTGTCTGCGTCTCTTCTTCGTCGTCGTCAAAAATATTGACAACTTTGAAACGCCTCCCTCGTGGTTTTAAAAGTTTTTTATGTCTTCAAATAAACAATAATAAAGATTTTTTTCTCGATTTTTCTATTTTCAGAACCTAAAAATTCAATTCGAAAAATGCTGGGTATCATCGAACTCGGCATTCAGTATCGGTGAGATTTTTTTTGCAAAAAAAAATTCTTAAAAAAAAAAAAATTTTTTTTCAAAAATTCTTTCAAATTCCAGAACATGGCGCTCAAAAGCTGCAAAAGGCAAAAAGAGCCCGAGAAGTGCTCCATCTACGCCGTTGGCCAAAATGGCTAAGCAATTAAATGAAGAGTCGATTTCGGTGAGAAGAAAAATCGATAAATTCTGATTTTTAGCCTTCAAAAAAGGAATAAAACTACTTAAAATGGTCGAAAAACCCGAAAAATTCCATTAAAAGCTGATAAAAATAGTCTAAAATCGCGAAAATCCAACAAAAAAAAATGCTGGCCGAGGTTTTCAAATTCATGGCCTAGAAATCCAAAAAGCTCGGCCAGTGGTGAATCGGATTTTTGAGCGATTTTAAGGCTTTAAAAATTTAAATTTTCCAAAAAAAAAAAATTTTTTCAAAATTTTGAATTTCCCGCCAAGCCAAAAATCTTTAAAAATTCAAATTTTTGCAGTTAGAGTCAGTGATGGCCGAATTCAAGCTGTCAAACACGACACTCCGTCGAATGATGTCCCATATGTCGGATAATATGGACCGGGGACTGGAATCCGGTCTGGAACGGTCCACTATTGCAATGTTGCCCTCGTTTGTACCGGAATTACCTAATGGAAAAGGTGAAAATGGGGGGAAAAATGAGCTGAAAATCGATTTTTTGACCCAAAAATCATTGGAAATCGTCAAAAAAAAACCTATAAATTGTGCCAAAAATTACAATTTTCAACCAGAAATGACTCAAAAAATCGAAAAAAAAAACGGCTGAAAATGGCTGAAAATGGCTGAAAATCTCCTCGAAAATCTCATTTCTGACCCAAAAATCGCGAAAAAGGACCTACAAATCGTCAATTTTTGCTAAAAAAAAATCTGAAAATGTCTGAAAATTCGACAAAAAATCGACGAAAATCGACAAAAGTCCATGAAAAATCGACTTTTTCGGTTTTCAGTTAAAATCGTGGTGGCCTAGAAAACTTGCAAAACTTAGGCCACCATGTCAAAATGGCCTAAAAACACAACAGAATCATGTAAGGACATTTTTAGGTCATTTTGAAGTGGTGGCCTAGAAAAGCAAATTTGCAAAAGTTAGGCCACCATATCAAAATGTAGCACACTGCCAGTTTCAAACAGGCACAACAACAAAAAAAACAGACAGTTTCTAGGTCACAGGCCTTGTAATCCTCTCGGACATGAAAGTCGATTAAAAATCGATTTTTAGTCGGTTCTTGTCGATTTTGAGTCGATTCAAAATCGACAAAAATCGATTCTTATCGATTTTTAGATTTTCGTCGATTTTTGTCGATTATCAACAATCGACACAGTACACTAGAAATGACCATGTTTATCGGAAAAATGGCCCAAAAAAATTCGGAAAAATTCGAAAAAAAAACGGCTGAAAATGGCTGAAAATCTCCTCAAAAATCTGATTTTTGAGCCAAAAATCGCGAAAAATGGCTGAAAATGCAAATTTCGCAGAACGCGGAAAGTTCGTGGCCATGGATCTGGGAGGTACGAATCTCCGTGTGATGCTCATGGAGCTCGAGCCCGGTGAGCCAATGAGAACGAAACAATTCAATACGAGAATGCCGAATGCGGCGATGCATGGAACTGGTGAAAAAGTGAGTTTTTTGGCTGAAATTCGACTGAAAATAGCTCAAAACTCGGGTTTTTTGAGCTAAAAATGACCGAAAAATGTTTAAAATTTAATGCTGAGCAATCTGAGCTGTTTTGTCCATTTTTAAGTATTTTTTTTCCGGATTTTTCGCGATTCGCGGCTCATTTTCAGTCATTTCTGACAAATTTCAGCTCGAAAAATGACTCAATTCATCTCCGGTTTGAACTGCAAATCGATAATTATAGGGGGTAATTAGGGGTAATTAGTGCTGAAAATCAGCCTAAAAATGGTCTAAAATTGGTTCAAAACGGTCTAGAATGGTCTAAAATTGGCCAAAATCGAGTTTTTCAGAAAAGTGCCCAAATGGCTCAGTGGGATTTTCCGGAACATTTCGAAACTCAACACCAGGGTTCGACTCCCATAGGTGGCAATATTTTTTTTTTGAATTTTTTTCGGACTATTTTCAGAAAAAACGAAAAATGAGCAAAAATTAATGCTGAGCAATCTGAGCTGTTTTGCTCATTCGTGGCTCATTTCTATCGACTTTTTGTAATTTTTAGCTCATTTTCAGTCCAAAAATCTCGAAAATTTGATAAAAATTACTCAAAAATGAACAAAACTCTCAGATTGCTCAGCATAAAATGTAGGGCATTTTTGGCGCAAAATGGCTCTTTTTTTTGGAAAAAATTGGCTGAAAATGACCGAAAATGACCAAAAAAAGCCGAAAAATTAAAGCTGAGCAATCTGGGCAATTTTGGTCACTTTTGGGTCATTGTTACAGATTTTTTGGTGATTTTAGCTCATTTTAAGTCTAAAAACCTTAAAAATCCAGAAAAAATGACCCAAAGAAGTCCGAAATTCGATAATTTTGTCAGATTGCTCAGCATTAATTTTGGATCTAATTTTGGCTGAAAACCGCCTTAAATAGCCTGAAAATGGTTGAAAATCCCACTGAGCCATTCGAGCACTTTTCTGAAAAACTCGATTTTGGCCAATTTTAGACCATTCTAGATTGTTTTGAACCAATTTTAGACCATTTTTGGCTGATTTTCAGCACTAATTACCCCTAATTACCCCCTATAATTATCGATTTGCAGTTCAAACCGGAGATGAATTGAGTCATTTTTCGAGCACAAATTTGTCAGAAATGACTGAAAATGAGCCGCGAATCGCGAAAAATCCGGAAAAAAAATACTTAAAAATGGACAAAACAGCTCAGATTGCTCAGCATTAAATTTTGGACATTTTTCGGTCATTTTCAGCTCAAAATGGCTCATTTTGGGTCATTTCCACTCTGAAAATGCCTGATTTCTCACTATTTTGACTCAAAAAACGGCGAAAAATGAAGAAAATGGTCAGATTGCTCAGCTTTAATTTTTCCAGCTCTTCGACTACATTGCCAAAGCCCTGTGCGATTTTTTGATCGAAAGAGAGTTGGCTGAGGAATGTCTTCCAGTTGGTTTCACATTTTCCTATCCATGCGATCAAACTGGACTACGGTCGGCCACATTGCTCAGGTACAGTAATCCTCCGAAAAATCCGAAAAATTGTGAAAATTGAGCGATTTTGAGCCGAAAACGGCCTGGAAATGGCTGAAAATGAGCTGAAAATGACCCAAAAATCGCCACAAAATCTGAAAATTGCTCAGATTGCTCAGCATTAATTTTTGGGCATTTTTTGCCCATTTTCGGCTGAAAATTGCTCATTTTCAGCCGTTTTTCGCTCTAAAAACCTCTATTTTTTGATTTTAATGTTAAAAATGGTCCATTCAACGATGAAAAATGCCAAAAATTGAAAAATTTCAGAGATTGCTCAGCCCTAATTGTTTGGTCATTTTTGGCTCGAAATGGCTTATTTCCAGCCGTTTTTGACCTAAAAATCGCTATTTTCTCCATTTAAAGATGAAAGTTCTTGCTCAAAAACAGCAAAAAAAAATCGAAAATTGCTCAGATTGCTCAGCATTAATTTTTGATCTAATTTTGGCTTAAAACGGCCTTAAATAGCCTGAAAATGTTTCGAAAAAAATTCAAAAAAGATTTGCCACCGATGGGAGTCGAACCCCGGTGTTGAGATTCGTAATTTTTCACCACGAAAATCCCACTGAGCCATTTGGGCACTTTTCTGGAAAACTCGATTTTGACTGATTTTTGACGGTTTCAGGCCGTTCTAGGCCTGCTTAAGTAGTTTTTGAGCATTTTTGATCTTTTTTGTTCCACTTTGGATTGTTTTAGGCCAATTTTAGGCCATTTTAGGCCATTTTAAGCCAATTTGAAATTTTAAAGATACTTTGTTTTGCATTAAATATGCTTAAAATGACTTTAAACAGCTTGAAAATTGCCTAAAAATGATGAAAAACGAATGTGCCAGCGGCCGGATTCGAACCCCGGTGTTGAGATTCGTTATCTTTCACCACGAAAATCCCACTGCGCCATCTTGGCACTTTTCGGGAAAACTCAATTTTGAGCGATTTTAGACCATTCCAGACCGTTTTCGACCGGTTTTTGGGCATTTTTTAGTCATTTTTGGCGATTTTTGGCTCAAAATGACTCATTTTCAGCTGTTTTTGGCTCAAATATCTTCATTTTTTCACTAAAAATTTCCCAAATTTCTTCCAGATGGACCAAAGGAGTGACTGCTACAGGATGCGTTGGTGAAGACGTCGTACAGCTCCTGGAGGATGCGATAAAACGAGACGGACGTGTGAAAGTGAACATCGTCGCGCTGATTAATGATACTGTAGGAACGATGGTCGCCGCCGCGTACGAGGCTGGTGGACATTGTGATATTGGTGTTATTATTGGTAAGAATTGGCTGAAAATTGGCTGAAAAGCGCGGGAATTTTCGGCTTAAAATGACGCCAAAATGGTCCGAAAAGAGGCTGAAAATTGGCTGAAAATGAACCATTATGAGCCAAAAATGACCAAAAATTAATGCTGAGTAATCTCGAAAATTTTGAATTTTGGGTCATTTTTCCACACGATTTTCTGTGATTTTTTGTGATTTCTCGTCTTTTTTTTACTCGTTTCTGGGTCATTTTGAGCTAAAAAATGTCAAAAATTGCGCGATTTTTGACATTAAAATTGAGAAAAGTGTTTAGAGCAAAAAACGGCTAAAAATGAGCTATTTTGAGCCGAAAATGACCAAAAAATGCCCAAAAATTAATGCTGAGCAATCTGAGCAATTTTCAGATTTTTCGCTTCTTTTTTGAGCTCGAAAATGAGAAAAAAAGACGTTTTTAAGTATAAAAACGACTAAAATGAGTCATTTTCAGCCAAAAATGGCAAAAAATGCCGAAAAATTTAAAGCTGAGCAATCTGAGCAATTTTAGATTTTTTGGCTTTTTTGAGCTCAAAATGAGCCATTTTTTACATTACAGCTGATAAAATAGGTCAAAAACGGCTGAAAATGAGCCATTTCGGCTAAAAAGGACCAAAAAATTAGGGCTGAGCAATATCTGAAATTTTAAAATTTTTGGCATTTTTCAGCGTTGAATGGACCATTTTTAACATCAAAATCGAAAAATAGAGGTTTTTAGAGCGAAAACCGGCTGAAAATGAGCAATTTTCAGCCGAAAATGACCAAAAGCTGCTTAAACATTAAAGCTGAGCAATCTGAGCAATTTCAGATTTTTTGGCGATTTTTGGGTCATCTGCAGCTCATTTTCAGCCATTTCCAGGCCGTTTTCGGCTCAAAATCGCTCAATTTTCACAATTTTTCGGATTTTTCGGAGGATTACTGTACCTGAGCAATGTGGCCGACCGTAGTCCAGTTTGATCGCATGGATAGGAAAATGTGAAACCAACTGGAAGACATTCCTCAGCCAACTCTCTTTCGATCAAAAAATCGCACAGGGCTTTGGCAATGTAGTCGAAGAGCTGGAAAAATTAAAGCTGAGCAATCTGACCATTTTCTTCATTTTTCGCCGTTTTTTGAGTCAAAATAGTGAGAAATCAGGCATTTTCAGAGTGGAAATGACCCAAAATGAGCCATTTTGAGCTGAAAATGACCGAAAAATGTCCAAAATTTAATGCTGAGCAATCTGAGCTGTTTTGAGCCCCCAAAAATGAGCCCCCAAAAACAGGTTGAAATCGACTGAAAACGACCAAAAATGAGTTGAAAATGGCTTATTTCAGGTACCGGCACGAATGCCTCCTACATGGAATCATCGAAAAAAATCGTGCATGGTCTGGCGAATGCCACAGAAGAGTATAATCATAAAACGGTGAGTTTTTGGCGTCGTTTTGGCTCATTTTGGAGCTCAAAAATCGATTTTTAGAAGATTTTTGATCCGGAAATGGCTAGAAAATGACCGTTTTGAGCCTAAAAATCTATTTTTAGGGGCTTTTTTGACCTGAACAGGACATTTTTGACACCCCAAAAATCGATTTTCCAGATGATCATTGATACGGAATGGGGAGGATTTGGTGATAACGGAGAAGCTGATTACATTTTCACACGATACGATAAGATTGTCGACTCGAAATCCGACCATCCGGGTGTCAATTCGTGAGTTTTTGAGCGGGAAATTTGAATTTTTGACTCCAAAAACGAGATTTTCGAGATTTTTTAGCTTCAGAAATGATGAAAAATGAGCAATTTTGAGACATTTTGAGCCAAAAATGACCGAGAAATGCCCAAAAATTAATGCTGAGCAATCTGAGCAATTTCCGGATTTTTGGTCATTTTTTAAGCGATTTTCGCTGGATTTTTGGGGTTTTGGCTCATTTGAGCTTATTTTCATCTGATTTTCAGCAGATTTTCAGTCATTTTCAGCCAAAAATAGACCAAAAATTAATGCTGAGCAATCCTGGAATTTTTTGAATTTAGCTCATTTTTGAGCTATTTTGACTGAATTTTTTGGGTTTTTCGCTCATTTTGAATAGCTTCTGACGATTTTAGACATATTTTCAGTTTGTTTTGTACCATTTTCAGCCATTTTCAGCCGAAAAATTAATGCTGAGCAATCTGAGCAATTTCCGGATTTTTGGTCATTTTTAAGCTATTTTCACTGATTTTTTTGCAGTTTTGGCCCATTTTGACCTATTTTGACCAATTTTCAGTTTGTTTTGTACCATTTTCAGCCATTTTGAGTCAAAAAAAGCGCAAAAAAGACCTAAAAGTTAAAGCTGAGCAATCCTGGAAAATTTTGAATTTTTGCTCATTTTAAAGCGATTTTCACTGGATATTTGGGATTTTTGGCCTATTTTGACCTATTTTAGACAATTTTCAGCTCATTTTCAGCTATTTTCAGACAATGTGCCAAAAAATTAGGGCTGAGCAATCCTGGAAAATTTCGAATTTCGACAATTTTTACGCTATTTTATCAATTTTTCCGAGTTTATAGGCTTATTTTCACTGGTTTTTGGCGATTTTGAGCTCTTTTCGGCTTATTTCAGCCATTTTCAGCCAAAACTGACCTTAACAATTAAGGCTGAGCAATCTGAAAAATATTGCAAATTTCGGTAATTTTTGAGCAATTTTCACCGAATTTTTGAGATTTTTGGCCTATTTTAGACGATTTTGAGCTTATTTTCAGCTTGTTTCGTACCATTTTCAGCCATTTTCAGCCGAAAAATTAATGCTGAGCAATCTGAGCAATTTCCGGATTTTTGGTCATTTTTTAGCTGTTTTGACCGATTTTTTTGCAGTTTGGCCCATTTTGACCTATTTTAGACGATTTTGAGCTTATTTTGAGCTTGTTTCGTACCATTTTCAGCCATTTTCAGCCGAAAAATTAATGCTGAGCAATCTGAAAAATTTTCGAATTTCGACAATTATTGGCCTATTTGGGCCTATTTTAGACGATTTTGAGCATTTTTGGCACATTTTCAGCTCATTTTTTTTTCAGCTCAGCCCCAAATTTCGCTAAATTTTCAGCCTTGACAAGCTGATTGCTGGAATGTGCATGGGCGAGCTGGTACGGTTGGTGCTGGAGCGGCTATGCGAGAATAAAGTGCTCTTCAATGGAATCGGATCGAAAATGTTGCGGACGAGGAACACATTTCCAACCAAATACATTTCGGAAATTTTGCAGTGAGTTTTTTTTTTGCTGAAAATCGATATTTTTAGCGGAAAAATTGACATTTTTGTGCTAAAAAACGCTAAAAAACAGCATTTTTAGCCTAAAAATCCAAAAATGGCTCTAAAACCCCTAAAAAACTATTCGCCACGCGTGGGTGCCGAACTCGGACCTTGAGATTGGTAGTCGAAAATCCTGAGCCAGTTTGACACTTTTCGGAAAAATGCTAAAAACACGATTTCTAGGGCTAATTCGAGGTTTTGAAGCGGTTTTCAGGGGGTTTAGAGCTCCAAAATGCATTTTTTGAGCTTTTTTAGCCGAAAAATGTGAAATTTTGAAGTTTTTAGGCTGAAAATTGACTTAAAATGAGCTTTTTCGGCTTTAAAAACCCAAAAAATGACTCTTAAAACCCAAAAAATGACTTTTACAAAATTGTGCCACGCGTGGGTGCCGAACCCGGACCTTGAGATTGGTAGTCGAAAACCCCACTGAGCCATTTTGACACTTTTCGGAAAAATGCGAAAAACACGATTTCTAGGGCTAATTTGAGGTTTTGAAGCGATTTTCAGGGGGTTTAGAGCTCCAAAATGTACTTTTTGACACCAAAAATGCGATTTTCAGTGACGATTGCGGTGTCTACAGTAATACCCGCCAGATAATGGACGAATTAGGCATTGAGGGAGCCACTTTCAGTGATATGCTCTTGCTCCGTGAAGTTTGTGTGGTTGTGTCGAGGAGGAGTGCCAATTTGGCAGCGGCTGGTGAGGTTTTGTTAGGCGGGAAATTTGAAAATTTTTGAAAAAAAACCATTTTTGAGATTTTTAGACCCAGAAATTGAGAAATTTTGCTTAAAATAGGCTTAAAACGGCCTTAAATAGCCTGAAAATGTTTCGAAAAAAATTCAAAAAAGATTTGCCACCGATGGGAGTCGAACCCTGGTGTTGAGATTCGTAATTTTTCACCACGAAAATCCCACTGAGCCATTGGGGCACTTTTCTGGAAAACTCGATTTTGACTGATTTTTGACGGTTTTAGGCCGTTCTAGGCCCTTTTTAAGTAGTTTTTGAGCATTTTTGATCTTTTTTTGCTCCACTTTGGACTGTTTTAGGCCATTTTAGGCCAATTTGAAATTTTAAAGATACTTTGTTTTGCATAAAATATGCTTAAAATGACTTTAAACAGTTTGAAAATAGCCTAAAAATGATGAAAAACGAATGTTTCACCGGCAGGATTCGAACCCCGGTGTTGAGATTCGTTATCTTTCACCACGAAAATCCCACTGCGCCATCTTGGCACTTTTCGGGAAAACTCAATTTTGAGTGATTTTAGACCATTTTAAGCTGTTTTGGACCAATTTTAAGAGCTTTTCGACTAATTTCTGAGCAGTTTCGAACTATTTTAGGCCTATTTTAGGCTATTTTAAGCAACTTGAGGCTTTATTTTTTTCAAATTTTCAACTTTTTTCCAGCAATCGCCTGTGTCCTGAATCGTGTGCGTCGACCCAATATGCTAGTGGCAATCGACGGGTCCACATACAAATATCATCCATTTTTCAATCATTGGGTCTGCGAGAAGATTCGAGAGCTCTTGGACCCGGGACTTGACGTAAGTCGGAATTTTTTGGCTGAAAATGACTGCAAGTTGGCTTAAGCAGCTCAAAAATAAGCATGAAATCGTAGAAAACGAGTCAACATGAGCCAAAAATCGCGAAAAATCGGAAAAATTGGCTCAAAAATGACGCAAACTCCGAAAATTGCTCAGATTGCTCATCGTTAATTTTTGACCTAATTTTGGCTGAAAATGGCTGAAAATAGGCTTAAATTTGCCTGAAACAGCCGGAAAATAGTGCAAAACAGATTAAAAACACATCTGCCACCGATGGGAGTCGAACTTGCGTGTTGAGATTAGTAATTTTCTGGAAAATCCTGCTGAGCCATTGTGACACTTTTTGAAAAACGCTCAAAAACTTGATTTTTAGTGAAAAAAATTCAGTTTTCGGTTGATTTTGAGCTCATTTTCAGCACTAATTACCCCTGTTTACCCCTAATTACCCCCTTAATTATTGATTTTGCAGTTCAAAATCGTGCAAACCGGAGATGGATCGGGTCGTGGAGCGGCTCTCATCGCTGCAATTGTGTCGAGAGTGAAACGAGAGGAAGAGAAAAGACTCAGAGATCTGGGTAATCGATTTAGGCTAATTAAGGCAATTTTTGGGCCAATTAAGGAGAGCTTTAGGCCAATTATAGGCAATTTTCGCTAAAAATAGGCTTAAAATGATCTTAAACATCTTCAAAATAGTCCAAAAAAGATGCGAAAAAAATTTGGCACCGATGGGAATCGAACCCTGGTGTTGAGATTGAAAATTTTGTAACTCGAAAATCCCACTGAGCCATCTTGACACTTTTCGGGAAAACTCGATTTTGACCGATTTTTAGCCAATTTAGACCATTTCTAGGCTGTTTTTAAGCCATTTCAGGCTATTTTAGACTGTTTCCAGGCCATTTTAACCCGAATTTTCCAGAAATCCAACGTCAAAAAGCTGCGGAAGCCGAGGAGAAACGTCTTCTGGAGATCGAGGCGGAGAAGGAAGAGGCCGAGGAGAGAGCGCGAAAGATTTCCGAAATGATGAGATATCAAATCGAGCGAGGAGCTGAAGAATCGCATCAACGCTTTGAATAAAATAGGCCACGCCCTCTTTTTTAGAGACCCCGCCCCCCTTTTTCACTTTTTTTTTCATAGATTTTTAGTGTACTTTTTTTTCGATTTTAGATCACTTTTACTAACCGAAAAATTCTGATTTTTCCAGAATTTTCCATTATTTAGTCACCACAGAAATTGCCATATTTTTCTATACCCCAATTCCCTCTCCAGTTGAGATTCTTAAAATTCTTGTCAAATTTTTTTATAAATTTTCAGCTAGTCAGAACTCTTTTTTTTTTGTTTTTTTTGTATTTTCTCGAATTGCCATTTTCCCCCTCTCAAATTTGCCATTTTTTGCTCTTTGTATGTGCATTTTTTTTCACAGATTTTTATTACTAAAATGTATTTTCTCGCAGCAAAACATGCTATACATCGAATCATTATTAATGGAGCGCATTTGAAAGTGCGCTCCATTGAATTTGAAATAGAATGGTGAAAAAATGAAGTTTCTAGCTCGGCTAGGAGCTGAGATACATCGATTTGAAGTTTAGCCAACTAGAGAGTGTGGGGGAGCGAGAGAGCGCAGGCAACAAGACACTCTAACTGTCTACGTGTCTCCTAAACTTCAAAGCGATGTAACTCGGCTCCCAGATGAGCTAGAAAGATGAAAATAGGCTCATTTTGAAGCTCTTGGGGAGCCGAATTGGAATTTTCCATAAATTATGAAAATCTGAGCAATCGTGCTCTATTGACAATTTCTTAAATTCGATATGTTACGTCCCCAAAACTGTTTTTTAACCTCAAAAAACTTTATCTATGCAGAACAAAATCAATATGGGGTTACGGTAAGATCTCTCTGGAAGAATGCTCCATTGTGTGAGTTGTTGAGCTTGTAGAAACTGGAAACCAGCGTTGGAATAGTCTCTTCGAGCTGAAAATATAGAAAATATAGAAGAAATGGAGCATATCGGTGAAAGAATCAAGTTTCTAGCTCGCCTAGGAGCCGAGATATGGGCGTTTGAATTTTTGGAGAGACACAGACAGTTAGAGAGGTCTCGTTGTCTGCGCTCTCTACCTCCCCCACACTCTCTATTTGCCTGAATCACAAATCGCTGTATCTCAGCTACCGGATGAGCTAGAGAAGTGACGTTTTCACTGAAATTGAGATTTTCCTGGTTGATTTGTGTTTGGCTTGGAATTTTTAAAAAATAGATCGAAGAAAATTTTTTAAAAGAGAACAAATATACGGAAGTTAATTTATCTGAAAATACGCAAAAAATTACACAAAACCGTTCAAGTTTCACTTTTCTAGCTCATCTGGGAGCCGAGATATGGGCGTTTGAAGTTTAGGAGAGACGCAGACAAGTCTCGTTGTCTGCGCTCTCTCACTCCCCCACACTCTCTAGTTGCCTAAACTTCAAAGCGCTGTATCTCAGCTTCCAGACAAGCTAGCGAAATGGCTTTTTCACCTTTGGGTTACTGTACTCCCCAGAGGATCTAGAAACTCTATTTTTCCAAAATTTTGTTACCGTAAACTGAGCATTTTGGGTTCCCATGTCTGTCTTAATCCATCCGGGAGCAAATGCCACACTCAGAATATGATCGTCTTTTGTATCAATAGAAAACGCTTTTGTGAACTGATTTACAGCAGTTTTGCTCATTGAATATGCTAGAATTGGGAGCATTTCGGATCCACGATTATTCTGAGAAATAGAAGCCAATCCGGAGGAGATGTTGATAACTGCAGAGCGAGAAATCGATAATTGGTCTCCAGAACTCTTTAACGCTGATTCACGGAGCAATGGGAGCAACTTCTGAGTCAGAATGACCATGCTGATGGTGTTTACATCAAATTGTTCAGCCAATGCTGCTCGGTTGGGTTCCTAGAAATCAACTTTCAGTATTTTCAGAATTTTCAAAATTTCCAGACAAAAATAACTGACCCCTTTCGTCTGATATGGAATCATGACTCCAGCATTGTTCACCAACAAATTCAAACCATTGGATCCCAATAATTCAGTGGTGTTGGCCACAAATTGATCGATGGACTTGTCACAAGTGACTTCCAACGGGAGGATATGAAGACGTGCGTCGTTGATGGATTTTAGGTCCTGGAATTTCGAATTTCTTGAATTTCGGATAATTTGATTTTATAGAGTCTAAAAAGAGGATAATTTTGAAGGAAGATTCAGGTTACTAGAGTGTCTGAGAGTTAAAATACAATGGTTGGAAAGTTGGAGGTTTTTTTATTTTTTATTTTACATTTATTTTTTCTGAATTTCAGTTTCTATTCTGAAAATACGCAAAAAATTAAACCAAACCGTCAAAGTTTCATATTTCTAGCTCGCCTAGGAGCTGAGATATAGCCCTCTAAAGTTTTGAAGAGACGCAGACAGTTAGAGATTCTCCTTGTCTGCGCTCTCTCACTTCCCTATACTCTCTAGTCGCCTAAACTTCAAATGACCGTATCTCGAGTTCTAGAACAGCTAGAAATCTGGGTTTTGCAGTAAAACATTTGGTTTTTAACCTATTTTCAAATGAAGTTTACTTTTTCTACTAAAACAAAATTTTGACATTTCAAAATTTCTCAAAACTTGTGAAAACTAATTTAAGTAGAACAATACAGAAAAAATTCTACCAAGCAGTTCAAGTTTCAAAATTTTAGCTCATCTGAGAGCCGAGATACGATCGTTTGAAGTTCTGGAGAGACTCAGACAGTTAGAGTGACGTGCTGTCTGCGCTCTCTCACTCTCTCGCTTCTAAACATTACAGCACCGTATCTCAGCTCCTAGATGAGCTAGAAAAATGAATTTTTCACCAAAATGTGTCGTTTGGGTTACTGTAGTCTCTTACCCCTGCTTTCGCGACATCTCTCGCCGTTGCAATAATCAATTCGATATTCTTATCCTTGATTAATTCTTGAACAATAGTCAGTCCAATTCCACGATTCGCACCAGTGACAACAACCGATTTTGGAGAAGAAGACGTCATTGTTTCGGAAGTGGCTGTAAATAGAAAATTCGAGAAAACTTGGAATTATTTTAGCTTAAAAATGACGAAATCTTCTTGTGAAAACGCGATTTTTGTCGTTTTAAATGCACCAAATCTGCCCTTAAACCATTTTCCAATCTATAAACCAATCAAAAACGGTCAAGAAACGTTAAAAACAAGCCGTTTTCCAAAAAGTGTGCCAGATAGCTCAGTGGAATTTTCTACAAAAATTTACGGTCCACAATACCGAGGGTTCGATTCCTTCGAGAGTCAAACATTTTTTATTTTTGTGTGGACCCAGAAAATACAATTTTCAGGTTCACTTGAGGTCCAGATAATGGAAATTTCAAAAATTTACTTTTTGGAAATATTCATAAAAAAATTTTTTTTGGTGAAAAATATTATTATTTCGCATATTTCAATAAGAAAGACCGCTAAAACCACAAATAACACTCTGAAATCATCAAATTTTGTCAAAAAACGCGATTTTCGAAAAAGTGAGCTAAGTGGCTCAGTGGGTAAAATCTACGGCCCACAAGACCAAGGATTCGATTCCTTCGGGCGTCAAAATTTTTTTATTTCTGTGTGGTCCCAGAAAATACAATTTTCAGGCTCACTTGAGGTCCAGATAATGGAAATTTCAAAAATTTACTTTTTGGAAATATTCATAAAAAAATTTTTTTAATGAAAATTATTATTATTTCGCATATTTCAATAAGAAAAATTGTTTAAAAACACTAAAAACAACCAGAAATAATCAAAATTTGTCAAAAAAGACGGTTTTCCCAAAAAGTGTGCCAAATGGCTCAGTGGGTTTTTTCCACCAAAATTTACGGTCCACAAAGCCAAGGGTTCGATTTCTCCGAGCGTCAAATTTTTTTTTATTTTGTGTGGACCCAGAAAATACAATTTTCAGGATCTCTTGAAGTCCAGATAATGGATTTTTCAAAAATTTACTTTTTGAAAATTCAAAAACAAATTTCATGACGAAAAGTACTTTTTGGCATATTTCGATAAGAAAAATCGCTTGAAACCACTAATTACACCCAGAAATAATCAAAATTGTCAAAAAAGGCAATTTTCCAAAAAGTACGCTAAGTGGCTCAGTGGGTAAAACTCACGGCCCACAAGGCCAAGGGTTCGATTCCTCCGAGCGTCAAATATTTTTTTATTTTGTGAGGACCCAGAAAACGGACTTTTAGGCCAAAAAAAACCTGTGAGAATCTGTGATTCCCTATTTTGCTGCTCTTTATATACTCTCTGACCACACAAAAAGAGATAGTGTGTGAATAGAAGAGACGCAGACAAGGACACAATATTTTATGGTCTTGACTAGAACCTCAAAATGAACACAAATATAGTTTGAGGTTAGTTTTTGGTTTGGACATAACATTTTGTGTCTTTTCCGCCGAAGAAATAAATATTTTGTGACTCTTGATGTCGGCGTCTCTTCTGTTTACACACTCTCTTCCTTTTTGTGACCAGGAGAGAAAAATGAGTATATAAAGAGCAGGAAAGAAAATAGGGCTTCTGAGATTTTCATAATTTTTTCATAATTTTTTGGAATTGCACGAATTTCTGGGTTTCGTAATTTTTGAGCTCGAAAAATCCATTATCTGGACCTCAAGTGAGCCTGAAAATTGTATTTTCTGGGTCCACACAAAAATAAAAAATGTTTGACTCTCGAAGGAATCGAACCCTCGGCCTTGTGGACCGTAAATTTTTGTAGAAAATTCCACTGAGCTATCTGGCACACTTTTTGGAAAACGGCTTGTTTTTAACGTTTCTTGACCGTTTTTGATTGGTTTATAGATTGGAAAATGGTTTAAGGGCAGATTTGGTGCATTTAAAACGACAAAAATCGCGTTTTGACAAGAAGATTTCGTCATTTTTAAGCTAAAATAATTCCAAGTTTTCTCGAATTTTCTATTTACAGCCACTTCCGAAACAATGACGTCTTCTTCTCCAAAATCGGTTGTTGTCACTGGTGCGAATCGTGGAATTGGACTGACTATTGTTCAAGAATTAATCAAGGATAAGAATATCGAATTGATTATTGCAACGGCGAGAGATGTGGAAAGGGCAGGAGTAAGTAACTTTTTTGATTGAAAAAGTGAAAAAAAAGAGCTTTCTAGCTCATTTGAGACCCGAAATACAGCTTTATAGACTACAACAACCCAAATGAAATAATTTGGTGAAACAACCAGCTTTCTAGCTTGTCTGGGAACTGAGATACAACGCTTTGAAGTTTAGAATCGAGAGAGTGAGAGAGCGCAGACAGCCAGACACTCTCTACTCTCACCACACTCTCTCGTCTCCCAAACTTCAAATGGCTGTAACTCGGCTCTCAGATAAGCTAAAATTTTGAAACTCGAATTGTTTTGTAGCATTTTTTCTGTGCTTTTTTATTTTGACAATTTTCACTATTTTCGAGCAATTTTTAAAGTTCAAATTTTATTTAAAATTTGCATTGGAGAAATTGAATTGAAAATAGGCCAAAAACCTAATCATCTTATGCTGAAATCCACTTTCTAGCTGTTCTAGAACTCGAGATATAGCAATTTGAAGTTTGGAGGACGAGAGAGTGAGAGGGCGCAGACAACGAGACACTCTAACTGTCTGCGTCTCTCTAAACTTCGAAGCGCTGTATCTCGGCTCCCAAGTGAGCTAGAAACGTGAAATTTGACGGTCTGTTGTAGTTTTTTGCGTATTTTCGGATTATAGTATAAAAATATATATTTAAAAAATTTAAAAACCTCCAACTTTCCAACCATTGTATTTTAACTCTCAGACACTCTAGTAACCTGAATCTTCCTTCAAAATTATCCTCTTTTTAGACTCTATAAAATCAAATTATCCGAAATTCAAGAAATTCGAAATTCCAGGACCTAAAATCCATCAACGACGCACGTCTTCATATCCTCCCGTTGGAAGTCACTTGTGACAAGTCCATCGATCAATTTGTGGCCAACACCACTGAATTATTGGGATCCAATGGTTTGAATTTGTTGGTGAACAATGCTGGAGTCATGATTCCATATCAGACGAAAGGGGTCAGTTATTTTTGTCTGGAAATTTTGAAAATTCTGAAAATACTGAAAGTTGATTTCTAGGAACCCAACCGAGCAGCATTGGCTGAACAATTTGATGTAAACACCATCAGCATGGTCATTCTGACTCAGAAGTTGCTCCCATTGCTCCGTGAATCAGCGTTAAAGAGTTCTGGAGACCAATTATCGATTTCTCGCTCTGCAGTTATCAACATCTCCTCCGGATTGGCTTCTATTTCTCAGAATAATCGTGGATCCGAAATGCTCCCAATTCTAGCATATTCAATGAGCAAAACTGCTGTAAATCAGTTTACAAAAGCGTTTTCTATTGATACAAAAAACGATCATATTCTGAGTGTGGCATTTGAGCCAGGATGGATTAAGACCAACTTGGGAGGATCAAATGCTGAGCTTACGGTAAGAAAATTTTGGAAAAATGAGGAGCGAATGAAGAAGTGAATGAATGAGGATGTCTGAGGAGCGAAAGAGTGTGGGGAAGGGAGAGAGCGCAGACGACAAGACTGTCTGCGTCTCTCCTAAACTTCAAACGACCATATCTGGGCTCCCAGTTGAGCTAGAATCTTGATTCTTTCACCGATATGCTCCATTTTTCTATATTTTCATATTTTCAGCTCGAAGAGACTATTCCAACGCTGGTTTCCAGTTTCTACAAGCTCAACAACACACACAATGGAGGATACTACTTGAGAGACCTTACTGTACTTCCGTATTGATTTTTTGTATTTTTTTGTGAATTTTTGGAAGAATAAATGAAATATTTTAATTTTTGGGTGAATTCTCATTTTTCAGAAATTCTGAAGTTCTGAAATTCTGAAATTTGGAAATTTAGAAATTCAAAAATTCAGAAATTCAGAAATTTAGAAATTCTGAAATTCTGAAATTCTGAAATTCAGAAATTCTGAAATTCAGAAATTCAGAAATTCTGAAATTCTGAAATTCAGAAATTCAGAAATTCAGAAATTCTGAAATTCTGAAATTCTGAAATTCTGAAATTTGGAAATTTAGAAATTCAAAAATTCAGAAATTCAGAAATTTAGAAATTCTGAAATTCTGAAATTCTGAAATTCAGAAATTCTGAAATTCAGAAATTCAGAAATTCTGAAATTCTGAAATTCTGAAATTCTGAAATTCTGAAATTCTGAAATTCTGAAATTCTGAAATTTGGAAATTTAGAAATTCAAAAATTCAGAAATTCAGAAATTTAGAAATTCAGAAATTCAGAAATTCTGAAATTCTGAAATTCAGAAATTCTGAAATTCTGAAATTCAGAAAATCCTATAAATTCCAAAAACACACAAGAATTCTAAAAATCGTTAAAATTCCAAAAATCTCAAAATGTTTTTTATTCCAAAAATTCCAAAAAAAATTTAAAATTCTAAAAATTCCAAAAATTTCAAAAATTCCGAAGTTTGCGAAATTTCATAAAATCCTAAATGTGTCGAAAATCACAAAAATTCCGAAAATGCTAAAAATTCTAAAAATCTTAAAATTTTAAAAATTCCAAAAATCCTAAAAACTCCTAAATTTGCAAAAATCTGAAAAATCCCAAAAATTTCAAAAATCCTAAAAATTCCAAAAATTCCAGTAAATCCCTATAATGCTGAAATTGAAATTAAACCATGATCCATTTCTAAATGTAATATTGTTACTGTTTAACCTTAAAGTTTCTCCAATTTCCCACCTCATACATTACACTTCCCCTCTTATCCTTGGCTAAAGTGTCTCGGGTATGATGCGCCTTACCCGAACATATGGAGGGGGGAGGTAAAGTAAACAGAAGGGAATCCGAAGGACGACACCCTCCTTCTTCATATTCATGGACCCCATGTGGTGCCAAGTACACAATACAGTAGGTCAGAATTCCTCGATTCGAGAAAGAAAGTTGCAAAATCCGGGAAATGTTTAGAAAGTTGTGTACCTAATGACACAGATTTTCCCTTTTTGCAGTTTTTTTGGGATCATGGATTATGGACAGAGAAAACTTTAGTTTTGTTTGAATTATGAACAAATACGGGGGACAGTTTTTGGGTAAAACAGATGACGTGGAAGGGGTATTTAATTTGAATTATGAACAAATACAGGGAAAATTTAAAGGATCGAGAGATGAAAAGTTTAGAGGGTAACAGAATCGGGTCAATTTGTTTCACTTGGTTATTGGGGATCAGAAAATTGGTATTTTGAAAATTTTGTGAAAGGTTTTAATGGAAGAATGAAGGAAACTTGAACTCCTAAAATTCGAACTAGATTTCAACAGATCACGGGAGCCTTTGCAGTTTGGAGGATGGCCAAATGGACATGAGATGAAGTTTCCGAAATACATTCCTATTTGAATTTTAAAAATTCGAATTTAGCCAACTGAAAGCTTCAAAATGAGCCTATTTTCACGTTTATAGCTCTTCTAGGAGTCGAGTTACAACCTTTTGAAGTTTTGAAGAGACGCAGACAGTTAGAGTGTGTCGTTGTCTGCGCCCTCTCACTCTATCGCTCCTCAAAATTTCAAATTGGTGTATCTCGGGTTCTAGAAAAGCTAGAAAAATGAAATTTGGACCGGTTTTTGTAGTTTTTGATATACTTTCTGATGAACAACCGAAATTTCAAGTTCAAATCTTAAGTCTACATAATTTATGCTAAACTGACTAAAAATGTGTCAAAATCTACACCAAACGGTCCAAGTTTCACTCTTCTAGCACGTCTGAGAGCCGAGATATGGACGTTTAAAGTTTTGAAGAGACGCAGACAGCTAGAGTGTCTAGCTGTCTGCGCTCTCTTACTCTCTCGCCCCTCAAACTTTAAATCGGCGTATCTCAGCTCCTAGATGAGCTGGAAAAATATTTTTTCTTCACTAAAATGCTTCATTTGGGTTACTGTATTTAAAAAATAAAAAAAAATATTTTTAAAAAATAGGTTTAAAGACAATCGAGGAAGTCTGAAAACCCCAAAAATGATATTAGGAATTTAACAATAAAGACATTCCGAATCTCAAAGTCTCAAAATTTCAAATGTGTTGGTTACTGTAGGATGTAGGTGGTACTGTACCTTGTCTACCATCCCTTTAACAAATATCCGTCCATGGAAGGGTCGTTGAGTTTTGAATGTTAGCTTTACGCGATCTTCCATACAGTCGACGAGAGGAAGTTCTGGAAAAATGTGGAAAGGTACAGTAATCCGAGATCCAAATCGCAGTAATCCTTGATCCTACAGTAATCTAGAGAATTCAAAACTACAGTAATCCTATTGAATTTTTGAAATATCGGATTTTCGAAAATTTTCAAAAATTCCAATTTTCAAATTATGTAAAAAATTTGGGTTGTTAGCATTTCGTAAATTCAGATTTTGAAGAAATTTGTGAAGTTTTAAGGATTACGGTCGCTCGGATTACTGTAGATTACTGTATTCATGATCTTGGGTACAGTAATCTGGAGCTTTGAAAAAATGAAGCTTCCGAAAGGATTCATATAGGGTTACTGTCGGTCTAACTACAGTATGCTCACGACTAAACTAAAAAGATTACTGTAGGATTACTGTAACTTTTGTTTTTAAGGTCTTACAATGAGGAACAGTAATCTTGGAAATTCAAAACTACAGTAATTCTATTGAATTTTTGAAATAGAAATCTCAAATTTTCAAAAGTTTTTCAGACTTTTGAAACTCCGAGGAATCCAAGAATCCAAAACCCATTAAAAATCCGAAACAACCTCCGAAAATACAAATTTCTTACTTTCTAAAATCCCCCCAGAAACCAAAACTAAGATTCCAAGACAACCCAAAGACCCTTTATTTTTCAAAAAAAAAAAAAACATCTCATAATCCGCTAATCATGCTAACCCAGACACCCATTTACCCCATCATGTCATCATTTCTTTATTCATTTTGTGTCCACCAATCAACCTTCAAAACTTCTTCTTTTCCTCATTTCTTCATTACAAGTGCATCATTCATCCCCCACCCGTACCATATGTATTTCCGAAACGGACGGGGGCTCAAGGTGAAGTGGACAAAGTGGGCGGAGCCTCATTTTAAGAGACAGAGGTCAGCATATAAAAGAGGGACCGTAATAGTGTCATGGCGAGTGTCCGTTCAATATGATTCTTCCTCTATCTCTACTGGTGACCTTACTTCGGTTGGCACGCTCCGCCGATCCACCGACACTTGATAATGGAATCGCAGGTACAGTAATCCTATAGTAATATTTTCTACTTTTTGTGGTGTAGAGGATACTGTAATTGCACAGTAATCCTAAATAATTTACCGCAACCCTTTCCGAGACTTTTTGTCTTTTTTAAAAACTTGCTGATTACTGTACCCAGATCCTGGATACCTAGATCTACCGTAAGCCTGCATTTTTTTTCTGCAGTAAACCAAGATATAAAAGCTACAATAATCCTATAGTAGTCGTATAGTAGTTCTACAGTACGTTTTTTTGCTTTTTTTAGTCTAGAGAATACTGTAAATTTACAGTAATCCAAGACACATCAGCTACAGTAATCCTAGATAATCTACCGTAATCCTTTCCGAAACTTTCAATGATGTTTTCGAAATTACGCCAAATCTAGATTACTGTAAATTACGCCAAATCTAGATTACAAAATCATGTTGTAATCCTACAGTATTCATTTTTACTTTTTGTAGTCTAGAGGATACTGTAGTTTGGGCTACTGTTACCCTAGACGTTCTGGATACAGGAATCTACAATAATCCTGAATAAACTACAGTAATCCTAATTATATGGGCTACAGTATTCCTATTTATAGCAGTCTACAGTAATCTTTGGTTTCTAGGATACAGTGATCTATGAGATACAGTAACCCTAGATAGGTTTGCTACAGTAATCGTTATTATATGGGCTACAGTATTCCTAGATACAGTAATCTGAAGTAATCCATTCGAAAAGTTCCACCTATTTTCAGGTTTTCGATGGTTTTCAATTTTGAGATTTTTTTGGAATTTTACGAAAAATTCGAATTTTAAAAAATTTCAAAAATCCGAATTCAATAGAATTACTGTAGTTTTGAATTTCCAAGATTACTGTACCTCATTGTAAGACATTAAAAACAAAAGTTACAGTAATCCTACAGTAATCTTTTTAGTTTAGTCGTGAGCATACTGTAGTTAGACCGACAGTAACCCTATATGAATCCTTTCGGAAGCTTCATTTTTTCAAAGCTTCAGATTACTGTACCCAAGATCATGAATACAGTAATCTACAGTAATCCGAGCGACCGTAATCCTTAAAACTTCACAAATTTCTTCAAAATCTGAATTTACGAAATGCTAACAACCCAAATTTTTTACATAATTTGAAAATTGGAATTTTTGAAAATTTTCGAAAATCCGATATTTCAAAAATTCAATAGGATTACTGTAGTTTTGAATTCTTTAGATTACTGTAGGATCAATGATTACTGCAATTTGTATCCAGGATTACTGTATTTTTGATCCAGGATAGCGGGAGTTACTGTAACTTTAAAGGATTACTGTACCTCTCCCTTTTTTTCCAGAACTTCCTCTCGTCGACTGTATGGAAGATCGCGTAAAGCTCACATTCAAAACTCAACGACCGTTTCATGGACGGATATTTGTTAAAGGGATGGTAGACAAGGTACAGTACCCGTCTACAGTAATGCTACAGTAACCAACTTTCAGCAAAACTGTGTCCGCGATTTTGTCACCAATCAAGCGAAAGATGTCACTTTTGAGCTGGAAAATGGAGCGTGTAATATGAGGAGACAGAGAATGGTAAGGCTACTGTAGGTACAGTAACCCGAAATGCAATTTTCCAGCTGGGACCCGAAAAACGTGGAATGGAAATGTCGATGACCATCATCATTTCGTTCCACTCAACGTTCATCACAAAAGTCGACAGAGCATATCGCTGTACTTGCTTCTACATGGAGGCTGATAAAGTGGTCACGAACAGATTTGATGTTAGGTAAGGTACAGTAACCCAACTGACACATTTTGGTGAAACAATCAGCTTTCTAGCTTGTCTGGGGACTGAGATACAGCGCTTTGAAGTTTAGGGGCGAGAGAGTGAGAGAGCGCAGACAACGAAACCTTTCTAACTGTCTGCGTCTCTTCAAAACTTGAAATTGCTGTAGCTCGGCTCCCAGATGAGCTAGAAACGTGAAAATAGGCTATACTTGAAGCTCTTGAATTTTCTGATTTTCCTAATCTGCCGTAACCTATAATTACAGTATGCTGCCGACAACTGACCTCATTGACACAGCCCGTATGCCACTGTGCACGTATTCAGTGCGAAGAGACTCGGTGAGCGGTCCAATTGTGGAGTACGCAAAGGTTGGAGAGACAGTTTATCATGTTTGGAATTGCGAAAGTGGTAAGTGCACAACTTTTTGAATTTTTAAACATAATTTTCCAATTTTCTGATTTTATTAAACACAATCTAATTGCCCGGAAAAATTTGAGCAATTTGAAGCAAAAACCAAGTTTCTAGCTCATCTGGGAGCCGAGATACAGTCATCTGAAGTTTAGGCAATTAGATAGTAGGGGGAAGGAAGAGAGCGCAAACAACGAGAGTGTCTAACTGTCTGCGTCTCTCCTAAACTTCAAACGCGCATAACTCAGCTCACAGACGAGGTAGAGAGATAGCAATTTGACAGTTGGGTGTCATTTTTTACACTATCTAGGATTATGTCAAAACTTGATAGATTTTTTGAATTAAAACTACTCAATATTTTGAAAAACTACATTTTTAAAAATACCAATTTTTAACAGAATCTGAAAATATGTGAAAAGTGAAACAAAACTGCCCATTTCCCATACCTTTAGCTCGTCTAGAAGCGGAGATAGGGGGCGTTTGAAGTTCAGAAGAGACGCAGACATTTTCGTCGTCTGCGCTCTCCTCCTATCCCACACTCCCTCGCTCCTCAAACTTCAAACGCCTGTATCTCAGCTCTCAGAGCACCTAGAGAACTGATTTTTCTCTAAAATTATCGATTTTGTCCAGATATGTTCTCCATGCTGGTACACTCGTGTTTCGTTGACGATGGAAACGGTGACGAACGAAAACCCCTTTTAGACGAGCACGGATGCGCCATTGACCCGCTGATTCTCCCAGATTTGACCTACAATAAGGACAACAATGTGGCGTATGCTCAAGTGAATGTGTTCAAGTTTGCCGATAAGATTTCCACATATTTCCAGTGTGCAGTGAGCACGTGTATGAACACCGAGGGAATGTGTGATGGGAAAACGGTAAGTAGTGAAAAGTAGAGTAGTTCAAATGAAACATTTTGGTGAAAAAATGAAGTTTCTAGCTTGTCTAGCAGCGGAGACACAGCGATTTGAAGTTTAGAGGCAAGAGAGCGTGGTGAGGGGAGAGATTGGCAGACGACAAGACTCTCTAACTGTCTGCGTCTCTTCAGAACTTCAAAAGGCTATATCTCGGCTTCCAGATGAGCTAGAAACATGAAACTAAGACGGTTTTGTGTTAATTTTAGCGCATTTTCAGAATATCTAAAGTTTTTATAGAAATTTCCAGACAACATTTCTTGCAAATAATACAATTTCATTAGTTGAAAAAAATACAGTAATCCAAATGAAGCATTTTGGTAAAACATTGACTTCTCTAGCTTGACTAGAAGCTGAGATACAGTCGTTTGAATTTTGGAGGTGAGAGACGCAAACAACGAGACTCTCTAACTGTCTGCGTCTCCTCTAAATTCCAAAAAGCTGTATCTCGGCTCCCAGATGAGCTAGAAACCTGGAATTCGATTCATTTTGAAGCTCTCAATAAGCCAAAATGGAAATTCTAAAAATAATTAAAAAAAAAAAAATTCCAGCCACCACGTTGCGGACCATCCGGATCGTTCAGTGCTCTGTCCAACAACAACCAATTCAACAACAGACGTGCTCGGCGAGCAACCGGAGATCGATTGTCCAACAAAACGACAGTCAACTGGGTCCATTTGGCAGATACCATGGATTTGGCAGCGAATAAGATTACGGTATTTGAGTTGGAAGAGAAGGAGGACCGAGGTAATGAGGATGGTGAGTACTGTAGATGGATACAGTAACCCAAGTAAAAGATTTGGGTGAAAAAATAGTTTTTCTAGCTTGCCTAGGAGGTGAGATACAGCGCTTTGAAGTTTGGGCAACTAGACAGTGTGTCGAGAGTGAGAGAGCGCAGACAACGAGACCTCTCTAACTGTCTGCGTCTCTTCAAAAATTCACACGCCCATATCTCAGCTCCCAGATGAGCTAGAAACCTGAAAATAGGCTCATTTTGAAGCTCTTGATGAGCTAAATTAAATTTTCAAAATTGAAATAATAAATTCCAGATACTCCATCTCATCCGCACCTGGCCATTCTACAAGGCGCAACGGCTCCTGTGATCTGTCTTAATCAATCGAGAATCCAAATTTTCTTCGTTCTTTCATTTTTAATGCTCACTTTGGTCACCGCGTTGACCGTATACACGCTCCGCCGAACGATGGCGGTGCAGAAAAAATGCGCGCTCAATGCATGATTTTTTTGTTTTTATTGAATAAAAAGTTGTAAAAAATTTTGTGCATTTATCAACTTTGAGAAGTTTAGACATTCAGAAATCCAACAGTTGAACATTTCCAAGCGTCAGAGTTTCAAAACTTCTCGGAAGAACGAATTCGGTAGGAGTGAACAATTTAATCTGGATAGGATCAGTGTGTCCTTTCGACACAACTTCGAGAAAATTTTCGAGGAATTTCTCGAAGAATTCCTCGAAATTTTTCGAGAAATTTTCGAAAAATTTTTCGAAACGACGATTTCATGTTGAACACTACTAATGCCCGCCACCCTTTCGTCTTCTGATCTTCAGAATACGTACTGTCCCAGAATCCTGAAGACGTCCCGCTCTCTTCAAGCTTAACACAATGAAACACAAGAAAACTAACACAGAAAAAGTTATTTTTTGGAGCAGAAAAAACCATACTTGCTAAATCCCGACCCAGCCCGGGTAGACCCTAGCTGCGGCCCGGGCCCGGGCTGGAGAAAAATTTTCCCGGCCCGGCCCGACCCGCCGATCCAGAGACCGAAAACTTCAAAATTTTTCTGTTGATTTTTGATATACTTTTTTCAAAATAATCATTTTGAAACCCGCCTACTTTATGTGCTAAAGTGGCTTTCATTGTGTTAAACTAGAAGAGAGCGTTCGAATGGTGGTAAGATGAACTTTCTAGCATAAAAATGAACCAAGTTATGATGAATGGAAGTTTTAGTGGCTCGGGACGTCTTCAGGATTCTGGGACAGTACGTATTCTGAAGATCAGAAGGCTCTATCTCTCTTCTGAAGCGAGTTATGTTCTAGCGAGTTATGTTCTTCTTCTTAGTTGTTTCATTGGTCAGAACCCCTCTTTCTTTGGGGCGGACAACCATTCTCGGTCTGTCCTAGTCTCTCCCAGCCTTCTCTACTTTTCCCCCTCTATTCTCGTACATCTTTAGTACCTGAATAAATCTGTATTCTATAACTACTATTCGTATTCCTTGATCCGGCCAGAATGCCGGATCCTAAGGACGTAACAATTACCTTACAACAATCATTTCCGTAAAACCTGTAATAGAAAGGCCCCCACACTGTCAACTTTAAGACAATTTATCTCGATTCCTGTAAAAGATATCGAAAAGTGGTTAACTAATAAAATGTTTTTAATATTGTGATAAACATTTTATCAGTTGACAACTTTTTGATATCATTCAAAAAAAGTGAGAAATCTAGGCTCAAAGTGGACGACCCGGGTAGCGTTCTATTAGAGTGTTTACGGTATTTGTCACCATATTCCCATAGGCTCCGCCCCTTTTTCCATAGATTAACAGTGACTTCATAGAGGGGGAAAACAGGGTCGTTTTGAAGGAAGATTCAGGTTTCTAGAGTGTCTGAGAGTTGAGATACAGTAGTTTGAAGGTAAAAGGTTTTTTAAAATTAAATTTTTTTTTTGAATTTCAATTTTCAGTCTTAAAATACGCAAAAAATTACACCGTATCGTCAAAGTTTCACATTTCTGGCTCATCTGAGTCTCAGATTCTGAGAGTCGAGAAATAGCCTTTTGATTTTAGAAGAGACCCAGATAGTTAGAGAGTCTTCTTGTCTGCGCTCTCTCACTTCCCTATACTCTCTAGTCGCGAAAACTTCAAATGGCTATATCTCGAGTTCTAGGACAGTTCTAGGATGGTTTTTGCAGTTAAACATTTAGTTTTTAATTTTTTTTTTCAAATAAATTTACTTTTTCAACTAGAACAAAATTTTGAATCTTCAAAATCGCTCAAAACTTGTGAAAATTGATTAGAATTAAAAAGCGCAAAAAATGGTATAAATCAGATAAAATTTCGAACTTCTAGCTCATCTGAGAGTCGAGATATGAGCGTTTGAAGTTTTGGAGAGACGCAGACAGTCAGAGTGTCGTGTTGTCTGCGCTCTCTCACTCTCTCGCCTCTAAGCTTGAAAGCGTTGTATCTCAGCTCCTAGGCAAGCTAGAAAAATGATGTTTTCACCAAAATGTGTCATTTGAATTACTGTAGTCTTTTACCTCTGCTTTCTCGACATCTCTAGCCGTTGCAATAATCAATTCAATATTCTACTTTCCCATAGAATAAATAGTGACGCGCGGAACCCGAGAGATGTCGGCTGCTGTCTAGGGGGTCCCTATATAAACAAATGACCTATATAAGATTTCGTTCTTCCGTGCACATATATTATGCTTGTCTGAGAAAAAAAAAGGTTAGAGAGTAATTTTTGCAGTCTGAATACGGTAGAGATATCGAAGCGGGATTTTTTTTTAATCTTGAAAATTTCAATTCAAAAACTAGAGTACTCCCTTAAAGTAATCGAATTTTACCCACGATTAATTCATGGTACCTCAAAGACAGATATTTTCTTATGTCTCTCTGCGTCTCTCCCCTCACACTCTCTCGTTCCTCTTTCTCTAATTCCCCATCCACCTGTTTTCTCCTGCAGACAGCTCACGGATTTTCACATATTGTACCCAAAAGATCGGAAAAAATCGAAATTTGTTCCTGCAGTTTTTAGTACTGTAGTTTGATATTATTAAGAACAAAATAGACGGGCATCATCTTGCTGCTACTTTGCGTTCTCTATGAAAATTTGGGAAAATTTGGTTCAGTGGGGACTTCGCTAGGGTCGGCGACACGGAACAAACGGACAAGCACAGAGAGTTTCGTGATTGTTGATAGAAAAGATTGGGAAAATTAATGATACATACAGTTTTTCATTTGGGCGAGAGTGCTATGGAAGTGCATATCTAATTAGGTTTCTTTCTTCACCTGCCTGTTTTTATGACCATTATGATTGATGGATTGGGACCACTCCTATACCGTCTCCTTCACCCTCTCTCCTCCCACTCCACCTGTTTTCTCCTGTAGACATCCCACGGACATTTACACATTCTCATAAAATTGGTCAGACCATTTCTCTTCTCTTATCCAATCCCAAAATATGAGCGGTTATTATGTTGACTACGGTTTTCTCTGTGATTTCGATTCTCGAAACATTTATGTAAGTTTCTTTGATCCTCTCGATTTCTTGTCTAAAAAGGAATTTGCAGCTCTTCGATTGCCTCAGACGTCGTCTTCAAACAATTCGTAACACATATGATTCAAGGAAGTTGATATTAGGAAAGTGCTATTCGGCAAAGCATATGGTAGGTTATTCGAAATCGTTTCAAATAAAGTAAAATTGAGCTTAAATTTGGTCGGCGCCGCTGGTGGCGAGCCGCGCGCAGTTGAAACCAATTATCTTGGTTTCTGTGGAAGATATCAATAATTTGAAACTGACAAAATGTTGGTCGTAAAATTACCAACATTTTGTTAGTCAACACATTTTTTGTATCTTTTAAACGAAACAAGAAAATTGAGCTGAAAGTCTGCAGGCCAAGCCACTCTCAATTCTTGTGTGAGATATCAAAATTTTGTAAACTAACAAAATGTTGCTGCTATGTAAGATGTCAATAATTTGTCAAATGACAAAACATTGCTGATTTTATGATAAACATTTTATCAGTTGACAAAATTTTGATATCTCTTCTAGGAACCGAGATATTCAAGCTCAAACGTAGGATGGAGGTTTCCCAATGAAACTTGATTTTTTCTTTTTTGCAGGTGATCAAGGAACATGATGTTGAAGAGAAATTTAGAAGAAATGTAAAATTCTATGCTCATGGATCCAATGTCACCGCTGATACTATTGCGACAATGCCAGAGAATCTTCCAGGGCTTGAGAAGTTTCAAGGAAAAATTTGGTCGCAGTACCTTGGATTCCTGAGGGACCCAAAGAATAAGTTTGCCGAGACAATGTGTGGTGACGAATTGGGATGGGTAAGTATTCTGAAATTTTAAAATCAGAATATCGAAAGATTTTCAGGTTAATGTCAAATATGCACCAGATGGGGATACGGTTTTCGAGATAGTAGATGTAGTCCAGAACTGTACAGTTCATCTTCCAAAGGAGGAGTTGTTACCAACGGTGAGTAATATTAAAGTTCATAGAAGAATAATTATCTTTACTAATTATCTTTAATTGAAGCTATAATTAAAGCCATTAATCGAAGCAAAACATTTGTAGCCTTGGTCGCCGGAGTATACGGAATGGGTGCCGCCGCAACATCATCCATTCGCGTTCATTAACCACAATAAACATCGGCCACTAAGCTCAAGACAGCGATTCGTGAGTCATTCAGTCTGCATCGAGACTAACATCTTCAATCCTGCGTTCAATTCAAAAAAAGAGGGATCATCGGAAAAATGTGACCATCTGTTTGCACTGAACCTGGGAATGGTTCGTACACTGAAGCCAGCAAAGGTAGGTACAATATACTGTACAGGTTCAGAACTATTCGTAATTTCCAGATTGGTGCATGGTACCAACACGAGGTGAATGAAAAACGAAGCGGCAAAAAAGCAATAAAGGATTTGGAACAATATCATGCCATTACTGCGAGCAAGTTGTTCGAAATCGAGGCACCGATTCCAACCAAAGTTGTTTATGGGAATGTTAAGGTAACAGATATTTTTTGGTCCCGAAAAATGAATCAATTTTTGTTTAGTTCGAAGTCGAATTCCCATTCGACCATGACGTCTTGGAAAGCTGGGAAAACCGGAGCACCATCGACTGGTTCCAGAGAACAAAGGGGCTGAAAAAAGATAGCCATTTCTGGAATAAGTATTTGGGGAAGGTGGAGATTTATCCAGAGGAAGCAATGGAGATCATTCAGGTTTGTTGGGACTCGCACTTGGGAACATGGCTTTGAGACTTTCAGAATTTTTCTTTTTTTCAGATAGTTGAAGAATATCGTCTGGATCTTCTGGAGCCTTTCAGATCCGAGCCTATCACAGTTATCAGTGAAGTGGTCCGTCATAGAAATTCCTATCAAAATAACAAAACCTATCCAGAACATGGAATTTTCCTAGTGAAAAATGTAATTGGAATCAAAGATGTAAAGGGGAAAATTATCAATGTTTGATTCTCCTTCTTTTTATGGTTACTGTAATTTCTATGATTACCCTCTTGTTTCCCGTCTTTTCTTATACTTGTTGTCCCTCTTACTGTAGTTTTCAAACTTTTAATGTTCAAAAAGAGCAATAAATAATTTTATGAGCAAGAAACGGTCATTAATGGGGGTTTTAAATGAGAATGGGTTTCGGGGAATTCAAATGCTACAGTGTCCCAGATAGGGTCTAAAGACAAACATGACATGTTTCTGAAGGTACTCCATTCTCACAGCATTTTCGCAAAGGAATTCAGGTTTGTTGGGACTCCCGTTTTTTTGGGGAGAATGGTTTTGAATTTTTAGAATTTTCCCTTTTTCCAGAAAGTCGAAGAATACTGTCAAGATCTTTTGGAACCTTTCAAGTCAGAGCCCATTACGGTTGTTGGGGAAGTGGTACGTCATCGGAATGCCTATCAAAACAACAAAGAATATCCTCAATTTGGAATTTTTCTAGTGAAATATGTCATTGGAATCAAAGATGTAAAGGGGAAAATTATCAATGTTTGATTCCCCTTCTTTTTATGGTTACTGTAACTTCTATGATTACCATGTTGTTCCGCTTTTCTTGTTACACTTGTTGTCCCTCTTTTCATGGTTGCTGTAGTTTTTAAACTTGAAAAAATATTTTTTTCTATGATTACCTTGTTGTTCAATTCTTCTCGTTACTGTAGTTTTAAAGGTGAGGAGACAGGAGATTTTTCGTAGTTTTTTTGTAGCTAGGGTATGCATTCTACCGTGACGGTGTACAACGCTAAATGTCACTCTGCGTACAGCTGTCGTCCTCGCCTTTATGTATGCAATCGGGCGTGCGCTTTCTCTTTGCACGCGTGGCTCAGTCGGTAGCGGCGCCGCACCCTAAATCATCGCCCTCACAAGTTCACCTCCTCGAGGGGCATCTTTGAACGGAATTTCGAGAACATTATTTTTTTCATGTCCCCCCACCTTTAAACGTTCTATTATATAATTATTTTTTAAAACAATACATATTTTTTGAGCGAGAGAATTGTCTTTTAGGGGGTCATAAAATGGGAAATTCGAATTGGTTTTGAGGGATTCAATTGCTACAATATCCCAGCACGACATATTTTCAAAGGCACCTCTACCACCAAAATATCAATTAAGTTTAAAAAATGTTTCAAGCCATTTTTTTTCCTTTTATGACTGGTGTCTTCTTCCCGCACACTGACCTTTTTTCGATGCATTTTTTTCTTTGACACTTTTCAACTATTATGCTTGTCTGAGAAAAAAAAAGGTTAGAGAGTATTTTTTGCAGTCTGAATACGGTAGCGGTTTCGAAGCGGAGAGCCTAAACAGCACACAAACGGTGGAGACGCAGACACTTTTTCTCTGCGTCTCAACCTTTTTTCTCACTATCAGACAAGCATAATATTACTGTGCACAAATAGAACTCAATTTCTCAAATGTTTAGTAAAGGTGAAAATTCAAAAAGCAACAGTAACAAGAGAAGAGAAGGGGACAATCATAGAACAAAAAAAAACATCGAAGTACAGTAACCAATAAAATATTGATGACAGGAAAATAAGAATCAAAAATTGATGATCTTGCCAGTAACATCTTTGATACTGACAACATTTTTCACTAGGAAAATTCCAAATTCGGGATATGTTTTGTTATTTTCATACGAGTTTCGATGGCGGACCACTTCTCCAACGACTGTGATCGGCTCCGATTTGAATGGTTCTGGAAGATCACGACGGTAGGCTTCCACTTTCTGTAAAAAGGAGGATTCTTATTGTTCAAGAAAACCCAACAAACCTGTAGTTTTTGAGTTCAAATTTCCAATTCACACCAATAAAAATGAGTGATTTTATTGACACATCAAAGAGAATGCACATTAACATTTGGATAGATGAGAAAACGAGCAAAGAATGATGAGAATGGGGGATCCAAATGCTACAGTATCCTCAGGTGTTTGAAATATTTCAGAAAACCAAAAGTTTTAGATTTTTCCTAAACATTCTGAAAATTTCAGAAAAATCTGAAAAAATTAAGAATTTTGCACTATTGAAAAACGGGATTATTAAAAAATATAAAAGTGTAAAAAAAATACGAAAGTCTAAAAATTTGAAATTATAGAGATTTCTGAAAAAATTGAAAAGATCAGAAAAAAGATTAGGAAATCTGCTCTCCCTATTACATGCTACTGATGTTTTTGAATTTTTATTCCTGAAAAAACAAGAGCTTCAAAATGAGTATACTCATGACCTATTTACTCCGATTTTAAATTTTTTGTGATCTATGTGCCTTTAAACTCCAAAAATCGAATTTCACCAAACCTAGACATGATTACACTTATTTTGAAGCTCTCGACGCGCTAAATTCAAAAATAATATTTTCATTGCTGAGTATCTGGTTTTTGCTCCTGCCACCATCAATGCGCCTTTAAAAATTGTTTCGAGCTACCGTAACTCTTTCATTTTCCGTATTTGGCTTTCAAAGTTAATGCCATTCAAGTTCACTAAACGAGAGCTTCAAAATGAATATAATCAAGACCTACTTTCTCTAGCTTCCCAAATTTTCGTGGTCCATGCGCCTTTAATTTCGAAAATAGGATTTCGTGAAACCTAGTCATGTTTATACTCATTTTGTAGCTCATGACAAGGCAAATTCAATCATCCAGTTTTTATTGCTGAAAATCTGAAAATTTCAGGCTAACCACCCGGATTTGATAGAAGGAAGGGCCCTCAAAAATTTTCAAGCTACCGTAACTTGTTTATTTGCCATTTTTAGTTATTAAAACTTGTATCATTCAATTTTACTAAACGAGAGCTTCAAAATAAATATAATCATGGCCTACTTTCTCTAGCTTCCCAAATTTTCGTGGTCCATGCGCCTTTAAACCCGAAAAATCAATTTCACGAAACCTAGTCATGTTTATACTCATTTTGAAGCTCTCGACAAGGCAAATTCGAAAATCACTATTTTAACTCTAAAAATCTGAAATTTTCAGAATAAAACCCCGGATTTTTAAAGCAGAAAATTGACGCTAACTGCTCCGAAAATCTGTAAAACTACTAAAAGTTCCAGATGACTCATCTCCTTTGAACTCCTGGACCAGATTTCTGACCCAAGTTTCAAAACAACCCATTTTTTTCACGTGATTTTGGGGTCCAGAGCTCTTTACCCATCACTTTTTATGAGTCATACGCCTGGAACTCTTCTTTTTTTCCCTGTTTTTCTCTTGAAACCGCCCGTAAAACTGATGGCATGATATGAGGAGACCAAGAGATAAAGACAAAGTGTAAAACAGGTGTTGTGTAGCTTTTCCTCTTTAAAATCGGCGCCTCGACGGCTCAATTGCTCAGTTCGAAATGCGTTCAGCTCTCTGGCTCTTCCCGATTTTCTGCTTGGCGCAAGGTAAAAGATTTTATCACTTTATCAGAATCAAATTTTCAAGTTTAGCTTGTAGAGAGCTTCAAAATGAGTATAATCATGCCTAGGTTCCAGGAAATTTGATTTTTGAGTTCAAAGGCGCATGGACCACAAAAAAATTCGAAATCAAAGAAAGTAGGTCATGTTTATACTCATTTTGAAGCTCGTAACAAGCTGAATCTGAATTTAACAATTTTTTTTCTGAAAAACCGACATATAGTGTGAAATTGGCCTAGACTCTTAAATTAGGGGGTTTTCGAGTTTGAAGGCGCATTGCTCATTTTTGGAATTCTGTCCAATTCTCAAGTATACAAACTGAATATTCACATTTAGCTCGTTGAGAGCTTCAAAATGAGTATAATCATGACGTACATTCTCGAAATTTCGAAAATATTGTGGTCCATGCGCCTTTAAACTCCAAAAATCATATTTCACCAAACCTACTCGTGATTATACTCATTTTGAAGCTCTCAACGCGTCAAATTCAATTTTTCACATTTCAGGATACGTCTTTGATTGCCTCGACGATTGTGAGTGCGACACAGAAGATGAGGTCATTCATTGTCACAACGGTGATCGTACCCAGCTCCGCTTGCCATCCGGCGCCCGTCTTCGCGGATTCCCAGTCATTGGACTGACCTACAACAAGATTGTCACTCTTCCAGATGAGACTACTCTTCTGGCAAAGTTCCCAGATTTGAAGGTAATAAAGAATTTTTTCTAGAAAATTATTTTTTCTGCTAATGTTTTAATTCTAAAAGATTCATCTGAAAATTTCAAATGTTTCCCTGAAAGAATTACATCTCTAGCTTATCTGGGAGTCGAGATACGATCATTTGAAGTTTAAGCGACTAGAGAGTTTGAGAAAGGGAGAGAGCGCAGACAACTAGAGTGTCTAACTGTCTGCGTCTCTCTAAACTTTAAATAGCTGTATCTCGGCTTTCAGACGTCCTAGAACCTTGGTTTTTTTGCTGAAACGCGTAATTTTTGATGCGTTATATTATTCACAGAATGAAACTATAAATTTTGAAAAATGTTGAAATTTCAGAAAACTTATGAATTTTTATTATTTTTAATTTTAATAAATCTCAAAAATACACATCAAATCAGGAAATTTGGTGAAAATTTCAGCTTTTTAGTTTATCTACAAGCTGAGATACGGTAATTTGAAGTTTGGCGGCGCGAGAGTGCGGGAAAGGGAGAGAGCGCAGACAACTAGAGTGTCTAACTGTCTGCGTCTCTCTAAACTCCAAATGGCTGTATCTCGGCTCTCAGACGTCAGAGAACCTTGGTTTTTTCGCTATAATGACTCAAATTTTTAGTATTTTCAGAAATTAAAAAAAATTCAGGTTATTGATGTCGAGCGTAACCCAGATTTCGATTGCGACTCTATCAACAACTACGAGCACATCAAGATCGTGTCCGATTGCTTCAAAAACATCACCGAAATCTCGAAAGTGCCAAAATTGTTCCGTCCAACGAAGGAGTGCGATTTGGCGTGCCAAACTTCCAAGCACTATGCTAAACTTCATGAATACGTGCTCTCACTTTGGGAAATCCTCAAGGACAAATACGAGAATTTTGATTTGGATGTGAGTTTTCAGGATTTGAAATGTTAAAATTGAATTTGACATGTTGAAAGCTTCAAAATGAATATAATCACGCCCAGGTTTCGTGAAATTTGAAATTTTGATTTTAGAGGCGCATGGACCCCAAAAAATTTGAAGTTTCGAGAAAGTAGGTCATGATTATACTCATTTTGAAGCTCACAACGTGCTGAATTCAAATTCTGTACTTATGTCTTTTAAATCAACATGGGAAAAATTTTAGGTCACTCTCCGCGATATTCAGCAATTTTTCACCATGGTCGTGAAGAAGATCCACAATGTCGGACAGGATATCAATAATCGCTTGGAAGCAGCCAAATCGAACAATCATCCAAAGAATACCAAGCCTGACGTCGAGCCATCGGAAATGTCGATTAGATTGGATGGAGAGGAAACCGAGATTTAATTTTTTTTTTGAAAAAGTTTGTAAACTTTTTTTATTTTTCTTGAACTGAATACAACTTGAAAATAACTGTTTTATTTTTGTTTGTTGTGATTCCAGCTTAAAAATGAGTATAATCATGCCTAGGTTTGATGAAATTTGATTTTTCGAGTTTAAAGGCGCATGGACCACGAGAATTTGAAATTTCACGAAACCTAGCCATGATTATACTGATTTTAAAGCTCTCAGTGTAAAAAATAAGGATAGTTTGTCCAAATTTCAGGAAAATTCCAATTAAATGTTTTGGGGGTCAATATCAGGTGGTCCCATCTTGCTAGGTTCGATTAAAATATCATGTTTCGAGTTTAAAGACACATGGACTTCAAAAACTTTGATTGTGATATAAAAACGGATTTAGCACGTTGAGAGCTTTGTAAAAAGTATAATCATGACCTACTTTCATGAATTTTCAAGTTTTTGTGGTCCATGCGCCTTTAAACCCCAAGAATCGAATTTCACCAAACCTAGGCGTGATTGTACTCATTTTGAAGCTTTAAACGTGACGAGTGAAAATATTTTGTTCAAATTTCAAAAACACCCGAAATGAAAATTTAGGGGCTCAATTTCCGGTGGTCCTAGGCATGTGTTAGAGTTTTCGAATTTTTAAGACGCAAATTTCAGAAGTGGACTCCGAAAACTTTGATTGTGATATGAAAATTTGGATTCAGCACAATGAGAGCTTCAAAATGAGTATAATCATGACCTTTTTTCATGAATTTTTAAGTTTTTTGTGGTCCATGCGCCTTTAAACCCCAAATATCGAATTTCACCAAACCTAGTCATGATTATACTCATTTTGAAGCTCTCAACTAGCCAAATTCAGACAAATTGTTTAAATTTCAAAGAACAACAAAATAAAAATTCTGGGACCTGAAATCAGGTGGTGGTTTATTGACGTCAAGGAAGAAAGCAGTTGTTCCAGAAAAAAAAACAAAAAAAAAATTTCTGATTTTTTTCTGGTTATTCGGAGCCTTTGACTTTTATTTTCATTTCAACAAAAAATGGGTCATCTCTTGTTTTCCTGGCTTTCTCTATCTTTTATTTTTTCCCTGGTCCAAGGTATTTTTCTGGAATTTTCCAGATTTTTTCTAGATTTTCTGAAATTTCAGGCCACATTTTCGACTGTTTCGGAAAATGTCGCTGTTATCCGGACCAGAAAATTATCCAGTGTCCCACAGAATTGAGAAATCAATTGGGACTGTCTTCCAAGGCCGCGATTGAAGGATTTCATGTGGATGATTTTAAAAAGGTGGGGACATTCTACCGTAACCTTTTAACTTTTGAATTTTGCATTCCAAAATTTATAGCATTCAATTACACTAAAAAGGAGCTTCAAAATGAGGATAATCATGACCTAGTTTCTTTAAATTTCTGTGGTCCATGCGCCTTTAAACCTGAAAAATCAAATTTCCAGGAACCTAGCCATGATTATACTCATTTTGAAGCTCTCAACGAGCTGAACTCAAAAATCATATTTTCATAGCGTTAAATCTGAAATTTTCAGACGATTCATTCGGATTTCAAAAAACATGAAAAAATTGAAAAATTTTCAAGCTACCGTAACTTTCTCATGTTTCATTCTTGCTTTTTGAAAATAATGTCATTTGATTTCTTCTAACAAGAGCTTCAAAATTAGTATAATCATGACCTACTTTCCCAAAACTCAATTTTTCGAAGGGTCCATGCGCCTTTAAACTGAAAATTTCAAACTTCATGAAACTTAGCCATGATTATACTCATTCTGAAGCTCTAAACCTGAAAATTTCAAAAAACACACTTTCAGATCTGAAAATCTGAAATTTTCAAACTAACCACCTGGATTTCAGAAAACATTTTTAAAAAAATTCAAGCTACCGTAACTTTCTCATTTTTCATTTTTGCTTTTTGAAAGTTATGTAATTTGATTGTACTAAACAAGAGCTTCAAAACGAGTTTAATCATGACCTACTTTCCCACTTTTCAACTTTTCGAAGGGTCCATGCGCCTTTAAACTAAAAAATCAAATTTTACGAAACCTAGTCATGATTATACTCATTGTGAAGCTCTTAACGAGCTAAACTCGAAAAACATATTTTCGTCGCTGAAAATATGACATTTTCAGGCAAATCACCCGGATTTCAAAGAGCTGAAAGTGGTCCCTGAGGGAACTTTCAAACCACTGACAACACGTGCTCCGAGAAAATATGGAAAATCCAGGCCGAGAAGAGATATGGACAGTTGGAATAGATTCAAAGCGTGGCTCATCGATTTTCAGAGAAAAATTCAAAATATGAGTCGGAGACATTGATTTTGAGATTTTTGAAATGAACATTTTTCAGTTTATTGGTTATTTAAGTGAAAAATCGACTTTCTAGCTCAACTCAGTGCTGAGATATAGCCGTTTGAAATTTGAGGAGCGAGAGAGTGAGAGGAGGGCGCAGACAGCGAGACACTCTAACTGTCTGCGTCTCTACGAAATTTCAAATGGCTGTAACTCGGCTCTCAGACGAGCTAGAAAGATGAAACTTTGACAGTTGTGCGTCATTTTTTCTAAATTTTCGGATTTATTAGAAATTCAGAAATTCAGAAATTCGAAAAATTTTTGATCCCTAAAATTATTTTCAAAAAAAAATTACAAAAAACTTTATTTTCAGAGGACAAAAGACAATTTCAGTTCACATCCTTACTGTCTTGGCTGGAAAATGGAGCGGGAGATCTGAAAACTTTTCTTAAATTTCAGAAAAAAATTTCAGCGAAAATCAAAACCTTTTCGAAAAATCCAAATTTCTGCGAATTCTGAAAATTGTCATCTGAATCCATTTGAATCGAAAAAGTGGTGCCAAAATCATTTCCAGCATCTTGTCTCTCGGATTTTATCGATTTTTTTGAATTCGATTTTTTGGATCCGCCCTCTTTTTTCGATGATTTTTTCGACGATTTTCTAGATTCTGGCTCATTTTTCTGGGATTTTTTGGAAGAAGATTTTCTAGAATTTTCTACGTTTTCTCCTCCAATCGATTCCATGTTCTTTGGTTCCTCTTCTTTTCTTGATGATCGTTTCGATGATCTACCGTAATCCGATGGTTGCAATGGATTTGTAAATGATCCATTTTCCATCGGACCACCTCCTGGAGATTCCAATTGCTCATCTTTCTCATTTTTCGGCGATTTCGATCCCCTCTTCAGAGATTCTGGGTCCTTTTCAACGACAATGTGGACTGTATGGGTACATGGTTTCTCTTCTGTAATTTTAAAATTTTGGCTTGGCGCGTTTTTAGTGACCTTGACGCATTTTTTAGTATTGATTCTATTTTTAGTGTCCTTGCACATTTAGGGTTAATTTACGCATTATTGGTGCCTTGACGCAAATCTAGTGCTTTGACGAATTTCTGGTGTCTTGGCGTATTTTTAGAGTCTTGACGCAACTTTAGTGTCTTGGCGCATTTTTTATTGTTTTGTCCTATTTTTAGTGCCCTGACGCATTCTTAGTGCTTTCACGCATATTTAGTGCCTTGACGCAATTTCAGTGCTTTGAGTGTATTGACGCATTTTCAGAGTCTTGACGCGTTTTGAGGGCCTTGACGCATTTTCAGCGTCTAGACGCATTTTCAGTACCTTGGCGCATTTTTAATGCATTGACGCGTTTTGGTGTCTTGACGAGCTTTCAGTGTCTAGGCGCATTTCTAGTGCCTTGACGGGTTTTTCGTGACTTTGACGCATTTGCAGTGTCTTGACGTACTTTTTTCCTTGGTGCATTTTTAGTGCCCTGACGCATTTTCAGTGCTTTGACGCATTTGTGGTGCCTTGGCGCATTTTGGGTGCCATGACGCATTTTAAGTGCCTTGGCGCATTTTTGGTACTTCGACCTATTCTTAGTATCTTGGAGAATTTTCAGTGCCTTGACGAGTTTCTAGTTCCTCGACCCATGTTTGGTGCCTTGGCGCATTTTGGGTGCCATGACGCATTTTAAGTGCCTTGACGCAATTTTGGTACTTCGACCTATTCTTAGTATCTTGGCGCATTTTCAGTGCCTTGACGAGTTTCTAGTTCCTCGACCCATGTTTGGTGCCTTGACGCATTTCACTCACTTTTCAAAAATAGGATAGACGAAACGATCCATACCATACAACTCAAACAGCACAACAAACCTCCACCAATCATTAACCACAAGAACCACTGAACTTTTGAATTTTCAAAATTTTAAAGTTCGCGCCAACTCACTCCCGGATAATTGACCATGGATCTGTCGATGATGAGCACATCTTTCCCAACAATATGAGTTAAATCGAATTCGCCTGTTGTACTATGACTTGTACTATTCCACGTGCCATTGGACATTTTGAAAAAACAGAAAGCAATGATTTTTGATTTTTTAAAAAATTCCCAAATTTGTTATTTTTTGCGTATTTTTTTGCCTTGACGCATTTTCAGTGCCTTGACGCATTTTTTGGTGAGTTGACAAATTTTCAGTGCTTCTACGCTTTCTCAGTTTCTTGACGCGTTTTTTGTGCACTCATTCAGTTTTGGTGCTTTGACGCATTTTCAGTGTCTTGACAAACTTTTGGTGTATTGACGCATTCTTAGTGCCTAGACACATTTTCAGCGCCTATGCGCGTTTTCTGTGCCTTGTCTCTTTTTATTTATTATTTATTTTATTTGTAATCCAAAAAAAATTCAAAGTTTTCCACGACTTTTTCCCGCCACGCCCTCTTATATTCCTATTTTTAATCCTATCCACCAAATCAATCAATATTTCTTGGTCCAATCAATTTTTCGAATTCTCAAGATGGCGAAAAGTAATTTGACTGGAATTGTCAATTCGACCACTCCTAAGACTACTACCGAAATTGTGAAAAAGACCACTGGGCTAGTTTTTACATATATTAGAGGATCGGGAATCGAAGTCAACGAAGATCAAATCACCAATTATCCACAGGTGCGTTGATCGGGAAAAGCGCAAAGGCACTAGAAATGCGTCAAGGTCCTACAAATGCGTCAAGGCACGGAAACTAAAATTTTCGCCTAACATTTCCGTAAAGGCACGAAAATTCGTCGAGGCACTAGAAACGCGTCAAGGTACTAAAACACGTCAAGGCACGGAAAATGCTTCAATGCTCTAAAAATGCGTCAAGGCACTATAAATGCGTCAATGCTCGAAAAATGGGTTTTGACCCAAAATGCGCCAAGGCACTGAAAATGCGTAAGGAAATGAAAATGAGTCAAGACGCCGAAAATCAGTCATGCCATTGATAATGCGTCGATGCCCTAAAAATGCGCCAAGGCACGAAAAATGCGTCAAAACAATGAAAACACGTGGGCACAAAAGTGGAACAACAGACGCGCCAACGCACCCAAAACGCATCAAACCTACCAGAAACAAGTCACCAATTGTTTATTTTCAGTGGTTCTCGTATATCATCGCCGTCGGATGCTGTGTATGCTGTCTCACTTGTATGGCTTGGATCGTCTGTGCTCTTTGTTTTTTCAAAAGTAAGTGATCCGGAAAAGCGCCAACGCACCAAAAACGCGTCAACGTTTTTTTTAGGAGAAAAGAAATGCACGCATACAGTCCACATTGTCGTTGAGAAGGACCCAGAATCTCTGAAGAGGGGATCGAAATCGCCGAAAAATGAGAAAGATGAGCAATTGGAATCTCCAGGAGGTGGTCCGATGGAAAATGGATCATTTACAAATCCATTGCAACCATCGGATTACGGTAGATCATCGAAACGATCATCAAGAAAAGAAGAGGAACCAAAGAACATGGAATCGATTGGAGGAGAAAACGTAGAAAATTCTAGAAAATCTTCTTCCAAAAAATCCCAGAAAAATGAGCCAGAATCTAGAAAATCGTCGAAAAAATCATCGAAAAAAGAGGGCGGATCCAAAAAATCGAATTCAAAAAAATCGATAAAATCCGAGAGACAAGATGCTGGAAATGATTTTGGCACCACTTTTTCGATTCAAATGGATTCAGATGACAATTTTCAGAATTCGCAGAAATTTGGATTTTTCGAAAAGGTTTTGATTTTCGCTGAAATTTTTTTCTGAAATTTAAGAAAAGTTTTCAGATCTCCCGCTCCATTTTCCAGCCAAGACAGTAAGGATGTGAACTGAAATTGTCTTTTGTCCTCTGAAAATAAAGTTTTTTGTAATTTTTTGGTTTTTCATACGTTTTTTTGAAAATTTCAGAAAAATGCGCCAAGGCCTTAAAATTGCGTCTAGACACCAAAATGAAACAGGACATTGAAAACGCGCCAATGCACTAGAAAAGCGCCGAAACACGAAAAACACGCCAAGGTACTGAATATGTGGCAATGCACTGAAAATGCGTTAAAACACGAAGAACGCGGTGAATGGAAAACGGAAACGGAAAACGCGCATAGTCAAATCACTGAAAATGCGTCAAGGCCCTAAAAATGCGTCAGTACACTAATAATGCACCAAAGCACGGAAAATGCGTCAAGGCACTAAACACGAGTCAGGGCACCAATAAATCATACACTAAAAACGCGTCAATGGGCACGGGAAACGCACGGGAAACGCGCATACGCACTGAAAATGCGCCAAACACAAAGAATGCGTCAAGGCACAGAAAACGCGCATAGGCGCTGAAAATGTGTCTAGGCACTAAGAATGTGTCAATACACCAAAAGTTTGTCAAGACACTGAAAATGCGTCAAAGCACCAAAACTGAATGAGTGCACAAAAAACGCGTCAAGAAACTGAGAAAGCGTAGAAGCACGGAAAATTCGTCAACTCACCAAAAAATACGTGGAGGCACCAAAAATGCGTCAAGGCACTGATAATGCGTCAAGGCACGAAAAACGGTCATAAGCACTGAGAATGCGCCAATGCACTAAAAATGCGTCAAGGCTCAAAAATTGCGTCAAGGCAATAAAAATGCGAAATTTTGGAAATTCCAGAGATCCCAAAATGTAGAACAAACAATGCGAAATCCCTTATTCATTGAATTTTTAATGAAAATTGAAAAAAAAATCATTGAAAATCCTGGACCGGAAAAAATTGGGACCCAATGTTTTTGGCACGCTGCCAAAAGTATATATTTTGTTGTTTTTTGAAAAAAAGTTTTGTTTGGTCCACTTTTTTTTTTTTTGGAAAATAATGATCTCATTAGTCTGGGTCAAAAAATGAAGTTCCGTTTTTTTTTTTTAATTTTGGGAATTTCAAAATTTCAGACCTTTCGAAATTTCGAATTTCTCAATTTCTGAATTTCTGTATTTCTGAATTTCTGAATTTCAGAATTTCTGAATTTCTGAATTTTCAAATTTCTGAATTTCTGAATTTCTGAATTTCCGAATTTCTGAATTTTCAAATTTCTGAATTTCTGAATTTCTGAATTTCTGAATTTCCGAATTTCTGAATTTTCAAATTTCTGAATATCCGAATTTCTGAATTTCTGAACTTTCGAATATCCGAATTTCTGAATTTCTGAACTTTCGAATTTCAGAGTTTCTGAATTTCTGAATTTCCGAATTTCTGAATTTTCAAATTTCTGAATATCCGAATTTCTGAATTTCTGAACTTTCGAATATCCGAATTTCTGAATTTCCGAACTTCTGAATTTCTGAATCTCTGAATTTCCGAATTTCTGAATTTTCAAATTTCTGAATTTCTGAATTTCTGAATTTCCGAATTTCTGATTTTTCAAATTTCTGAGTTTCTGGATTTTTGAATTTCTGAATTTCTGAATTTCCGAATTTCTGAATTTCTGAATTTCCGAATTTCTGAATTTTCAAATTTCTGAATTTCCGAATTTCTGAATTTCCGAATTTCTGAATTTTCAAATTTCTGAATTTCTGAATTTCTGAATTTCTGAATTTCCGAATTTCTGAATTTTCAAATTTCTGAATATCCGAATTTCTGAATTTCTGAACTTTCGAATATCCGAATTTCTGAATTTCTGAACTTTCGAATTTCAGAGTTTCTGGATTTTTGAATTTCTGAATTTCTGAATTTCCGAATTTCTGAATTTCTGAATTTCTGAATTTCCGAATTTCTGAATTTTCAAATTTCTGAACTTCCGAATTTCTGAATTTCCGAATTTCTGAATTTTCAAATTTCTGAATTTCTGAATTTGCACATTTTTTATTTTCAGCCCTTGTCATTTTCAGAAGGAAGTAATTTTTTAAAATCCGACTTTTTTCCTCATTTTCACAGACAGAATTTTCCAGAAGACATCTTCTGGATTCTGAACTCTCGACGTCACGTCTTCTGGAGATCCCACGCTTCTTCTTTTTATTCCTCACCTAATTATCGTCTTCCGTTACGTCTTCTCCAGAATTTCCGCTATTTTGTTCAAAAAGACGGGGAAGACCTATTGTAATATCTATTCTTTATCTAGAAATTTGAAGTCTGAGATTCTGAGATTCTGAGATTCTGAGATTCTGAAATTTTGAAATTTTTGAAATTCTGAATATCAGAATTTTCCAGAAGACGTGACTTCTTAAAGTATTTAGCATGAACAATGGCCAAACGACCAATGTACGGGTGAGTTCAAGAAACAATAATTACTAAAATTTTTAAAAATCGTGCGTTCGTGCGGAAATTCCTTGAAAACGTGACTGGTCTCGGTCTAATAATACTCAAAAAAATTCTTAATGAAAAGTTTTCATTTCCGGGTCCTCCTCTTTTTGAGTCACCCTATAAAAGAGGCAGGATAATGAGTTCATTTTTCAAAATTTCCAAAGTTTCGGATATTATTTTTTTTGATTTTTACTTTTTGAATATTTTTTCAAATAAAAACTACACATTTCAGTGAAAAAATCAGGATTCTAGCTCATCTGGTAGTCAAGATACAACCATTTGAAGTTTTGAAGAGACGCAGGCAATTAGAGTGTCTCGCTGTCTGCGCTCTCTCACTGTCTGCGTCTCTCCAAACTTCAAGAGCCTGTAGCTCAGCTTCCAGACGTGCTAGAAAGCTAGTTTNTCATGTCTCTAGCTCATCTGGGAGCCGAGTTACATCGCTTTGAAGTTTAGGAGACACGTAGACAGTTAGAGAGTCTTGTTATCTGCGCTCTCTCACTCTATCGCTATTGAAACTTGAAACGGTTGTATCTCAGCTGCCAGACAAGCTAGAAAGCTAAAATTTTCACAGGTCTAGTTAATTTTAGGTGTACTTTCAGTATTGCTTAGTAATTGGAAAAATTAAAATTCTAAATTTTCTGAATTTTTTTTTTCGAAACTGGTCTATTTCAAAAAGTAGGAAAGTATCTTAGATTACGCATTTCAGTGAAAAAATCAGGTTTCTATCTCATCTGGGAGCCGAGATACAGTCATTTTAAGTTTTGAAGAGACGCAGACAGTTAGAGTGTATCGTTGTCTGCGCTCTCTCACTCTCTCGCGCCTCTAAACTTTAAGAGCCTGTATCTCAGCTTCCAGACATCCTAGAAACTTCTAATTTTTGCTATTTCCCTTGAAAACTTCTATATTTTTTCTATGAATGGACATTCGACAATCGCAACCGATTACATTGCCTATCAATTCCAACTATTTCCACTGACCTTTCCCTTGATTACGGTACTGGC